GGACATAAAAGGTATTTTTTTAATGAATGGATGGATGGATGTTTGTAAGAATAATGCTCTGGATTGCCTGGTTTAAAATCCCATTTCCACCACTTAGTAAGTATAATGTCTAGAAAGTTATTCAATTTCTGTTTTTTCTTCTTTGTCCCCCACATTTTTTATTGGTGTATTATAGTTGTATATAATGGTGTAGAAAGTTGTTCATTTTCTTTAAGCCTTTTTCTTTCCCTTTGACATGAGACTAACCATAGTATAATTTTCATAGAGTTACAGAAGTAAGATCAGAATAACCCATGTCAAATTTAAAGAACAGTTCCTGATACAGCTGGGTGAGATATTGCATGCATGTAATCTCAGCAGCTCAGGAGGCTGAGGCAGGAGGATCACAGGTTCAAAGCCAGCCTTAGCATCTTAACGAGGTCCTGTCTCAAAATTTTAAAAAAAAAGGGGTGAGGATGTGGCTCAGTGGTTAATGCCCCTGGTTCATTCCCTGGTACTAAAATAAAGAAAGAAGGAGGGGAGGAGAGAAAGAAAAAAAAAGGAAGGGAAGGAGGGAGAAAAACCAAAGAAGGAAGAAAGGAAAAAAGAAAAGCTAAGCTCCTGGCACAAAATAGGCTTATAAATGAGGGCTGGTGGATAGAAGAGAACATTGCAGAAGAGAAAAGAGGTAGTACTGTGCTTTTGCAAAATAGGGAATATTTTGAACTAGTTAGGACTTTTTTAAAAAATATTTTTTAGTTATAGGTGGACACAATATCTTTATTTTATATTTATGTGGTGCTGAGGATCGAACCCAGTGCCTTACGCATGCTAGGCGAGTGCTCTACCTCTGAGCCACAACCCCAGCCCCAAGTTAGGACTTTTTATAAACATAAATGACCTCTGAAAATATTCTCCCTCCCTCCCTCCTTTCCTTCCTTGCTTTCTTTTTAGTATGCTTTCCATAATTGTCCTAATTTAATTGGGGGTGGGTGGGAGGAGCAGGTGGCTAGAGATTGAACCCAGGGCCTTGTGCATACTAGGCAAGCACTCTTCCACTGGGCCACATTCCTAACAATTATCCTGATTTTCACCATAAGATAAATAATACTATCTGAACCTATTTGTTCTTGGAAAATGCAGTACTGATTGAATTTTTCTGGTGACATACAAAACCTCCTTGTTGGAAATTCATAAGCAGTCTGCTTTGGGGAAGGAGCTCAGATCAAGAAATGCTGTTGATATTTGAACTACTAATTACAGATCAAAATGTAGTTGGGGGCTGCCGTTGTATGTAGTTCAACGGTAGAGTGCTTGCCTTATATGTGTGAGGCACTGGGTTTGATCCTCAGCACCACATAAAAATAAATAAAATTAAGGTATTATTCATCTACAACTAAAAAAAGTTATTTTAAAAAAATGTAGTTAGTTTTTTGGTGCAAGGGCAATGGCAAATCTGTTTATGTCAATTTTCCTGCTTCATTAAAGCACTACCAGAGCCTTTAGGGAAGTGAGTCTAAGAATTTTGTCTTGAATGGTAATTTAATGAGCTTATAAACTTATTCTTGAAGAAATCTTCAGAATATTAACATTTTTTTCCAACTGGTGATTTTTCAGTAAACCAGCAGTCTTTTTCTTTTTGCTGAAAGACTCCCATGTAGTATGTAGTTCTTTTTTTAATATTTATTTTTTAGTTGTAGGTGGACACACAATATCTTTATTTCATTTTAATGTGGTGCTGAGGATCGAACCCAGTGCCTCACATGTGTTAGGCGAGCACTCTACCACTGAGCCACAACCTCAGCCCTATGTAGTTCTTTTTAAAGGGAAAATAATTCCCCCTCCCCTACTACTACTACTACTACTACTACTACTACTTATTATTATTATTATTATTATTATTATTATTATTTAAATATCTTTACTTTATTTATATTATTTATTTATTTTTTTATGTGGTGCCGAGGATCTGAAAATATTCAGGAAAAAGGAAAGGAGGGAGGGAGGGAGAATATTTTCAGAGGTCATTTATGCCTCACAAGTGCGAGGCAAGTACTCTACTGCTGAGCTATAACCCCAGCTCCTATTATTATTATTTTAATACTTATTTTTTAGTTATAGTTGGACACGATACCTTTATTTTATTTATTTATTTTTATGTGGTGCTGAGGGCCTTGCACGTGCTAAGTGCGTGCTCTACTGCTGAACCACAACCCCAGCCCCCTAACTTATTATTTATTTTGAAATATTTCAAACCTACAAAGAAGCTGAAAAAAATAGGACAATGCAACCTTATTATTTGTGGGTTTTTTCCTGACTCACTGGAAAGTTGCAGATATCATGATAATTGATCCCTAAGTGCTTCTATGTGTATGTCCTAAAATCAGTGATGTTCATTTAATATCATTATCCTGTCCAAAAATTTAATTAAACTATTGTGCAAATAGTTTAATTTCAAATCTCCTTATTTAAAAAATACAAATGTTAGGGGTGTGTGTATTTGTGTACCTTTTAATCCAAGATTTACTCAAGGTTTATGTTGAAATTGGTTATGGCATTTTAAAATCCTTTATTACATTGGTGTTTTTAAGAATCTAGGCCACATTCTGATTTATATGATCGTTGCCCTGAGGTTCGATTTAGGTTGAACATTTTTGCTAAGAATACTATGAAGTTGATGTTGTGTACTTCATGTGGCATCACATCATTAGACAGTTACTGTTAATGTTGAAATTTAACACATTTGGTTTCCAGCTCTCTTCATTGTAAATGTATCATTTCCCATAATAATAATAGGTATCTGGGAGTGGACTTTGAATTGTATCAATATTCTGTTTCCTGTACACCTTTCACTCCATTATTTTAGCATTTATTAATGATCCTTGCCTGAGTCTGTTTCTGAGTCTGGGGTTGCAGTATGGTGATTTCCCAGTTGTTCCTTCTGCATTTATTAGCTGGCATATATATATATATTTTTTTTTTTTTAAGAAGATATTTCCATTTTTTCCTCCTTTTCAGTATTCAGTATTATTGTAAACTAATGGATTCTTCCTGTACTCAATGTGCTGTCTTCTTTTTTTGTTGTTGTGACTTACTGGCCAGTAGGAGTCTGTGTCCAATTGAAATGATCCCAGGGGTCTTTGAGCTATTCCATCTTTACTGGCACAAGATATTCTAGGCTCACCTTATACTTTCTTACCATACACCAAACTGGGAATCTACTATTTCCTCTCGGAGCCCAAATTTCTTTTAGTGAGGAATGATAATTTAAATAAAAAGATCTGGGTGCATGATATGCTTAGAAAATAACTTTGAAAATATTGCCCCCTGGTACACACTTGTAATCCCAGCAACTGGGGAGCCTGAGTCAGGAGGATCATAAGTTCAAGGTCAGCATGGGCAACCTGTCTCAAAATAAAAAACAAAAAGGGCTGGGCTGTGTAGCTCGGTGGTAGAGTGCTTCCTTCCCTTTTCTTTCCTTTCCTTCTGCCTCTATCTCTCCCACCTGACAAATGACCACAGGCTTAGACAATGTTGTTGTTTGTTTGTTTGTTTTTGGCACGGGGTATTAAATCCAGGGGCACTTAACCACAGAGCCACATCCTCAGCTCTTTTTTGTGTTTTATTTAGAGACAGGGTCTCACTGAGCTGCTTAGGGCCTTGCTAAGTTGCTGAGGCTGGCTTTGAACTTATGGTCCTCCTGCCTCAGGCTCTGGAGCCACTGGGATTACAGGTGTGCTCCACCGAGCCTGGAAGCCTTGGAGAATGTTTGTATCCATGGTGTTGCCATCAGGAGCTCCTTCTGCAGTGGAGTTTGTTAAGGAGGCTTTCTGCAGCACTCCAGTTGTGGAACCTTGATATGTGCCTTGGAGAGCTCTGTGTGATGGAGCAGCCCAGGACTGTCTTATGAGAGCCTGTGATTGGGGTCACTCTTGGCGAACCAAAGGAAGCAGGAAGCCAGTTACAGATCTCAAGATAACACATTTATTCTGCAATTTAATGTTTCATGAAGTGAAGGATATCGCCTTTCTTAATCCTACCTGTTTGTTTTCACTGAAATTTAAAGTTCTTTTTTTTCAATAGCACCCAGATTTAAAGTGTTATTTTTTTTCCATTGACACCCCAAGGGACATTTTTAGGCAGTTTTCCCCTAATTTATCCCCATCATGAAGTTTTAATAGCTCAGATACACAGTTCATGTACTGTTTGCATTTATGCCTTACACATAAAACGAATGAGATTGTTTTCATTGCCCAGAACTGTTTCTTTGTCCGTTTTGAGCTGATAGTACTCTTATTGAAAATGCACAGAGTAGATGTAGAAACAGAGGATAAATCTGATTTGTTTTAATAATCCATTTTATAGTATAAGAACATATTTTAAAGTGTCTTTTTCTGAACAACAATGTAATCTGTCAATTATTTCAGTCCAGCAGTGAGCTTTTGGTCATTTGAAGGGGACATTATCCTATCACTACAAAGATAGTAATTTTTCATATACATGAAACTTCAAAGGCTACAACTCTAGTTGTTTACCCTTTTAAACAGGAAACTGGAACTTTTGATAATAATGGGGAATGGGGAATTTAATCTTTTCCAAAATTATCTTTCTCTAGAATTGCTTGATGGTACTATATTATTTGAATGTATTTTAATATATAAGGGACACATGCATTTTTCCCCTCAAAATCTCTCCTTTTTCCTACCCCAAGCCCAAATAAAGAACTCTTGAGTCCTTGGGGAAATAGAAATAGAGGCGCTGCAGTTAATTTTACTTTTTTGCACTATGCATTGCAGACTATGGTATATGATTTGTCGTTCTCTCGCCATCCCCCCCATCCCCAAGCATTTCTCTGTAGGTCTTTTTATTATTGTTTCCTCTCTCTCTCTCTCTCTCTCTCTTAATCATTGTTCTTTGCTTTCTTTACATTCCCCCAGTATTCCTTGCATTTCTGTGTTCCTTTCCTCTTCCTTCCTTCCTTCCTTACTCTCCTACATGTTGTCTCCTTTCTTTTCATTCAGGACTATGAGAGTAAATTGCAGGCCTTGCAGAAGCAAGTTGAGACCCGTTCCCTGGCTGCAGAAACTACTGAAGAGGAAGAAGAGGAAGAAGAAGGTGAAATATAGAGACTGAAACCTTCTCTTATGTCTTTTGGATCTGTATTATCACATTAATCCTTTATTTGTTATGAATACTGGGTTCCTCAAAATTGACCCACCATTTGTTGACCTTGTACTGAACCAATATAAAGGTGATTTATAAGATGCTCAGTGCTGAGAACACAGGCTGTGATCTCTGGAGTAAAGGTGAGGCTGATAGTGTTTTATAGCTTCACAAGGTTTTTGAGCAGTCTTCACATAAATCTTTTGGGATGTTTATGTATATTATCTCATGTTATTGTACAAACGACTTTCATATATTCAAGTAAATACAGAGCTTACTCATTGTTAAGATAATTAATTTGCGGGGCTGGGAGGTGGCTCAAGCGGTAGCGCGCTCACCTGGCATGCGTGCGGCCCGGGTTCTATCCTCAGCATCACATACAAAAACAAAGATGTTGTGTCCGCAGATAACTAAAAAATAAATATTAAAATTCTCTCTCTCTCAAAAAAAAAAAAAAGATAATTAATTTGCTAGATTCCTAGCTGAAGACTTTGGAATGTATCCATACTTTAAAGCCATTACCAGCTAGCTTAGTTAAGTTTTCCAGAATAAAGTCTTTATTTTTAAATATCTAAGTGAAACATAACCCTTTTCCCTGTATTAGAAAAGAACTTCATCTGCATTCCTTTGTTTAGCGTATATACCTAGAATATAGTAGACACTGATTAAATTTTTACTAAATAGATGTTTTCTAGTTTCATTACACTTTGGTTCTCTACCCAAGTTGTCAGTTGTCTCAAAAATTCAAATTAAAAAAGAAAGAAAGAATTCAAATTAACTTTGAAGGAATTCTTTATGTGCTAAAGTCTTTATTTTTAAATATCAAAGTGAAACATAACCCTTTTCCCTATATTAGAAAAGAACTTCATCTGCATTCCTTTGTTTAGTGTATATACCTAGAATATAGTAGACACTGATTAAATTTTTACTAAATAGATATTTTCTAGTTCATTTTATACCTGAGACTGTATTTTGACAAGAGCTGGAGGGACATTAATAGAAAAATGTTTTTCTTGGCTTTCTGAAAAAAAATCTCAACTTTTTTTAGTTTTCTACTGTTAAATTTATACCTTTAAGTCCTGTGTGTCCACCTGCCACTAATTTATTCCTCTTCTGAAATAAGAGGCAATACTGTGGTAATAGACAAGTGCATGTGCTCTGCACCCAGATAGTGGAAGTCCAGTCCCAGCTCCACAGGTTGTGTGACCTAACTGTCCCCTGCCTCTGTTCCCTCATCTACTAAGTGGGGTTGGCAACAGTACCTCCCATTCAGGGATTTATCATTTGCTATACCAGCGATCAGGGACTTTTTAAAAAAATATAGCACCACATTAGAATATATTTTAAAATGAGAGAAAATTTTATTTATTTGATGTGCTGTTTCAGATTTTTTTTTTAAATTCTGCTTCTATAATATCAACAGAATTTAGTAAGCTTTACTAAAAAGAAAAGCAAAAGCAATTTAATGAATAGAAACTGGAAAATAGCTTGATCACCAAGATAAAGTAGAGAACGGATATAATTTCTTACAGCTGTGAGATGACCATCAAATATGCTTCCTTTGCTCTTTCAGTACCTTGGACGCAGCATGAGTTTGAGTTGGCCCAGTGGGCCTTCCGGAAGTGGAAGTCTCACCAGTTTACTTCCTTAAGGGACTTACTCTGGGGCAATGCCGTCTACCTTAAGGAGGCCAATGCCATCAGTGTGGAATTGAAGAAGAAGGTATGCAGGGTGGCAGGAACACTGTCGTCTGGAGGCAGAGCTGAGCCTGTGTGTGTTCATTTGGACATCACCTTGAACTAACCTTACCTTTGGGGGGAGCTCAGCTTCTTTCTGCATTCCTTTGTTTAGTGTATATACCTAGAATATAGTAGACACTGATTTAATTTTTACTAAATAAAATTTCATAGAAATAGATATTTTCTAGTTCATTTTATACCTGAGACTGTATTTTTGACAAGAGCTGGAGAGACATTAATAGAAAAATGTTTTTCTTGGCTTTCTGAAAAAAAATCTCAACTTTTTTTAGTTTTCTGCCTTTAAATTTGGACCTTTAAGTCCTGTATGTCCACCTGCCACTAATTTATTCCTCTTCTGAGATAAGAGGCAATACTGTGTAGTAGACAAGTGCATGTGCTCTGCACCCAGATAGTGTAAGTCCAGTCCCAGCTCCACAGGTTGTGTGACCTAACTGTCCCCTGCCTCTGTTCCCTCATCTACTAAGTGGGATTGGCAGCAGTACCTGCCATTTGGGGATTTGTGAGGGAATCAAAGAATGGATGCATATCAAGCACTAAAAGTCATGCCTGAACATGGTAAAAGATGTTCTTGTAATTATTACCAAAATTTTACACCAAATCTTAGATTTATCCTTATGTATGTCCCACTGTTTAATAGTCTCTTGTCTGGTAAGATTATAGCCAAAGACCACATTAAACATTAGGAAGGCACATAGATGGCCTGTCTTTGGTAAAAGTCATTGTCTGCCTCTAGGGCTCTATTCTGCTTCTGCAAACTGTGATATCATTTTTTTCTCAATCTTGGAAGCCCTACTCATTTTATAATTACTTATTAACCACTGTTCTCCTTAAGTAGACTAACTAAAGGCAGGAATTCCCTCCCTACCCTTATTTCAATGTCTAGCATTCATTAGTATTTATTGGTGAAAATACAGGGTGGTAACAAGAAATAAATTACATACCAGTTGTGGTGATAAATGCCTATAATTATATATATACCAGTTGTGGTGATAAATGCCTATAATCCCAGCTATTCAGAGGCTGAGGTTCTACTCATGAGGATGGAAAGTTCAAGGCCAGCCTCTGACTTAGTGAGACCCTCAACAACTTAGTGAGACCCTATCTCAAAAAATAAAAGGGCCAGGGATGTAGTTCAGTGGTGAAGTGCTCTGGGTTCAATCTCTGGTACCAAATAAATAAACAAATAGGGGCTAGCTCAGTGGTAGAGCACTTGCCTAGCATGTCTGAGGCTTTGGGTTCAATCCCCAGAACTGCAGAAATAAAGTGCGGTAGGTGCTTTTCTTTCATCATACCATTGTGTATGTGTGTGCTACCTCAGCTTCCCAAGGTACTGGGATTACAGGTCTTTGCCACAGCACCTGGCTGCCATAGTAAATACTTCTCAGAGTAGTAGTCATATAGTCTTCTGAATTTAAAATTGGAATACCTTGATGTGTTCCATCAGCTCTTGTTAGTGAAGGACTGGATGTATTCTTGGTCCACCTTTTGGTCTCTGTATAAGTTCCACAGAAGTCCTCATTTAATCAAGCGAAGTAGACTTACTGCAACCTTAGTTTATATTTGCAAGGCTGGGGAAACAAACTTTGTAAATAGGCTCATTTGAAACTAGGATTATTTCCTGTGTTTAACATACAGGCAGCTTTTTCTTCTTCTTCTTTTTCTTTTGCCGATAGTCCATAGCACATACTACAGGTTTCACCTTTTTCCCATGGAGTATAATTATATTGTCTTGTCTCTGAAGTTTACCTGCTGAAATGTAATGGTTTTCACATTTGTCCATGGTTTATTCTTTCCATTCAGGTACAATTTCAGTTTGTTCTGCTGACTGACACACTGTATTCCCCTTTGCCTCCCGAATTACTTCCCACTGAAGTGGATAAAACTCACGAGGAGAGACCTTTTCCTCGTACAGTGGTGGCAGTAGAAGTTCAGGATCTGAAGAATGGAGCAACACATTATTGGTCTTTGGAGAAACTCAAGTATGCACACACTCAAAAGCTGCTTATTTTATTTAGGGAATAATAATTGCTCAAGTGGACTCCCTCATGTTTTCATTTGAGGATGTGGTTGCTTTCTTTCCTGTGCTTTCCAAATGCTGTTGCTGGCCTGTGATATTGCTAACCATCCATTACCTTCTAAGTGAATGAATCATAACACTCCTCAGATATCTGATATTTAAATTTACCCTCCATAGTATCTTTTCTGTCCTGGACTTCATGGTGATGATTAATAAAAACAAAGTTATAATCTAGCTTCCTTTACATTTAATATGGTGAGATAATTCCCACTGAATGTATTTGAGATGTCACATACCACGGAACATTTCCCCTGTGATGGTTGACTCTCTGTAGGTTAGGTGGCCATTCTTGAATTTTGATGGCTTCTCTGTAGACTCAGACTTCTTAGATACTGAGGATTTTGGTTTCAGTACTTCTGGCTTTCTTTTTTTTTTTTTTTTTTTTGTGGTGCTAGGGATTGAACCCAGGGCCTTGTGCATGTAAAGCAAGTACTCTACCAATTGAGCTATATACCCAGCCCTCATTTTTTTAAAATATTTATTTAATTTTTTAGTTGTAGTTGGACACAATACCTTCATCTATTTTTATGTGGTGCTGAGGATCAAACCCAGGGCGCTCACATGCTAGGCAAGTGCTCTACCGCTGAGCCACAACCCTAGCCCTCATTTGTTTTTAATAACATTAAATTATGGGAACAGGGGCTGGGGTTGTAGCTCATGGTAGAGTGCTTGCCTAGCATGTGCGAGGCTCTGCGTTCAATCCTCAGCATCACATTAAAATAAAGGCATTGTATCCAACTACACCTAAAAAATAATATTTTTTAAAAAATTATGGGAACAGCTTTTTTAAAAAAATTTTTTTTGTTTTTTCTTTTCTTCCTTTTTTTTTTTTTGTTTTGTTTTTTGGTTTTAATATTGGAAATTGAGGAATTGAACCCAGGGGCACTTAACCCCTGAGCCACATCCCCAGCCCTTTTTATATTTTATTTAGAGACAAGATCTCAATAAGTTGCTTAGGGCATCACTAAATTGCTGATGCTGGCTTTGAACTTGCAATCCTCCTGCCTCAGCCTCCCGAGCTACTAAGATTACAGATGTGCAACACAATGCCTGGTTTTAAAACAAACTCTTGCCAGGCATGGTAGCTCATGCCTGTTAGTCCTAACCACTTGGGAGGCTGAGGTAGGAATATTGCAAGTTCCAGGCCAATCTCAGCAATTTATTTATTTATTTTTAAATTTTTTTTTAAATATTTTTTTTAGTTGTAGATGGACACAATATATTTATTTATTTTTATGTGGTGCTGAGGATCAAACCCAGTGCCTCACACATGTGAGGTAAGTGCTCAACCACTGTGCTACAACCTCAGCCCCATCTCAGCAATTTAGCGAGGTCCTAAGCAACTTAGTGAGACTCTGTCTCAATATAAAAAATAAAAAGGGCTGGGGACATACTTAGTGGTTAAGCACCCCTGGGTTCAATCCCCAGTACCAGGGGGAAAAAAAAACCTTGCATGTAAGATGCTTCCAAAACAAAAATTTAATGGAAGCTCATAATATTAACTCAGTGTCCTTCATGTTTGCTAAATAGGCAGAGGCTGGATTTGATGCGTGAGATGTATGATAGGGCGGGTGAGATGGCCTCTAATGCCCAAGATGACAGTGAAGCTACGATGACTGGCAGTGATCCATTCTATGATCGATTCCACTGGTTCAAACTTGTGGGAAGGTATGTGATGATTTTGTTGGTTTCTTTTTAAATAATGAATACTTGTATTTTAATTTAAAAATCTCAGTTGATATTACAGAAGGTTAAAAGGAAAAAAGGAATAAAAGAGCCCCATTTTATCCTCTCATAACCACCGTGTCATTTGGTATACTTCCCTTCAGCATTTTTAAACATGCATATTCTTTTGATTCTCAAACTTTTGAAAGGGTTTGACAGTCTTCTTTGGTTCTCAGCTTATTTACAAAATGTTTTGCAATTAATTAAGATAAATTGATTAAGATATATTAAGTTATATTGTGCAACTTAAAATCATTGTCTTAGCCGACTGCAATATCTTCATAATCTGAGAAGTCATAAAGCAGTTCATCTCACTTTTGTCATTGCCAAGGGCAAATTAATTGCATATCTTTGTAGTCCTCTTGAGTCTCTTTTATATATACATTATATTCAACATTTTATGAAAACAAATATTGCCTCTGTGAGTCTATATTGAGTCGTTTAGAAGTTTAGAAATTTTAAAGCAGGAAATTTATATTTTGTGCTATTTTTAGAATTAGAATTGTTTTTCAATTGCAAAAGTAGTCTGTTTTTTAAAGGAGCTATGTAAAAATCTGTTGCTGAAGTAAGAGTATTTTGTAGAAATGAAGGAAGTCTTCTCCACTCCACTCCGATAGTAGACAAGCTTATTTAAAGAGATGAATTGGCCAAAAACGTCTTACCCAAGCAAAGCACTTGCTGTTTTGGAATGTACTATTTCATCCATTTTTTTTCTTCTGTTTCAAGAACATGTTAGCATTTAAATAAACATTTAAATTCGTATTATTTCACCTTAATGTTGAGTAGCTCCTTTGAGGCCAAGATGCTGCTGGTCTTTCTGTGTGAACTGGAGAATGTAAATATTTGCTAGCACAGTATTCACCTAGGTCGCTCTACTCATGGGTTTCCTTTGCTTTTCTTATTCTAAGGATCCATCTTTGTAGAATTTTTCAACCTGCCCTTTTGTTCCCTTTCACTTGATCCAGATGATTTATGCTTATTTTATCCTTTTGCTTTTCTATTTGCTTTTATTGTGTTGATTCCCCAGTAGACTCTGTCCTGTTGGCACCTATCGCTTCTTGTTTAACCAACTATTCCTCTCTCCCTGGCTGTGTCAATCGGCGTCTTGCCTGGTGTCTAGCTCCCCCATTTTCCACGGCTGTGTGAATGAGCGCCTTGCCGACCGCACACCCTCCCCCACTTTTTCCACGGCCGATTCCGACATCACTGAGCTGGCTGACGAGCAGCAAGATGAGATGGAGGATTTTGATGATGAGGCATTCGTGGATGACACCGGCTCTGACGCAGGGACGGAGGAGGGATCAGATCTCTTCAGTGATGGGCATGACCCGTTTTACGACCGGTCCCCTTGGTTCATTTTAGTGGGAAGGTTGGTGAGGTTATTGTGAGAAAGGCAAAAAGGGACCAGCTCTTGTTATAAAGACCTCTTTGTTCAATTTTGGATAATACTGACTTAGTCAGTTTAATTCATGAATGCTCAGTCCCAGGTCTGCCAATGCTTTAAAGTCCCATAGATGCAAATCTGGCTAGAGAGCTCAGGCATTATTTGTGAGCATTCTATCTCCTTAATACAGCATACAGCAATATATGAAGACTATGTGGAGGGATGCTTATCTTAAATTCAGAACAATCATTTTGTTTTGAAGGAGGAAATCTCAAAGGAGAAAGTAAGGCTAAGAATCAAAGGTAATGAATTCACAAATGATACTGTGGACTATGCTTCCTTCTTAAAGGAATGTGACTGAGGGAGGCATATGGGGTTACATGGGAACAAACACACCAAGTCCAAGGTTAGGCTGAAGAATTTGTGGTACTACAGGAGACTAAAGTGGAACCGGGTACTGTTAGGTTCATTTTTTTGCTTAGTCTACTGAGTCCTAAAATGAATCAAGAAAACTTCATGTCTACAGTGGCTGCCTTTTTTATATCCAGTTTCACTGAATGCATCTATAGGCCTTTGGCTTCTGCTGGAATTTTACCTATCAGCTTTATAATGATGAATCTCAGAAAACTACTTGTTGACACCATCAACAAATGAATATTTGTTCATTTAGACATAAAACTGCATTATTTATCAAAACTTATGTTGAGTTCACCAAATTGAGGCATTGTCTTTAGCTCTCAGTCCGTGCATCCCTCTGTCAGTGATATAGAACTCTGTGCATAAATTCCCGACACTGGTGTCTTTTTCCACATCAAGTCTTCACGATGAAATGATAATTACAAGTTTGACAGTAGAGAAATCACTGGATTAACTAAAAAGTATGTTCCGGTTTTAAAATATAAAATTTAACTTCATGGCTGAACCCTTTACAAATAAGGGAATTGTTTCACTGTTAAGTGGTAAACACAAGTTATCTAAACATTGATGTCCAGCAAGTCTCCTGACCCCATTAGACAGAGGTGTTACCTACCAGGTGGGAGTTTCATAACTATTATAGAAGATAATGGAAAGGGAAGAAAGAAAAGCTTTTTGATAAAAACGAAAACCTCAGTTACAGGTTTGAGTCATAATATTGGACAGTCTCTGGACTTTATAATAGGGAAGGGGCATTATAAGTTGTTTCTCCATGAATAAACACAATGGGATTATATACCCATGGATATTGTTTTCTACTGGTATGTCACCTGGAACAGATACTTAGAATCTCAGAAAAGCTGATTTATACCAAAAGTGAGAAAAATGTATACAGATAATGGGATAATAATGCTTTCGTTTACTCTATGGCTCTCTGTATCCTTCAGCACATATCCATCCTATTCCAAGAGAGTTGGAAGTTAGAAACTAGTTTCTACCCATGAACTTGGCCTCAATGAACAAAGCCAGTTGCATAGCTTTAAAGCTGTTTGCTTGTGTTCTACACCACTGTACTGTGAGGAGTGGACAGTTTCAGGAGAAGTGGCCTGGTCAGGAGAAGTCTTCTCTCTACTTAATACAAGCTACTTAAATTGACCTGTTGGATTTTCACATATAAAATGAGTTGGTAGGAAAGAGTCTTGCCAGTCTTTCATCTTTCATATTGTGTTATCTATACTGGCAAAATGAATATCCTGGTTAAGATTTCTACTTAGAAGCGTTTGTATTTTTAATCAGTTGTTTAGAAAACTGAAGTCAGAATGCTACTTAATGTGGATATTAACTGGGTTAAGATATGTACATTATTTTCTTTCTAGTTTTATATTTCATATCAGATATAAAATATAAGTGTAAGGCAGTCAACTCTTAATTTGATTTTTATGTAAATATTTGTGATACTATGGCTCAGGAATTGACTTTACATTTGTTTGAGTTTCCAGATTCTTAGACCTAACTTTGCCTTGCCAGAAAGAGACAGGGGGACGTGGGGTGTTGCACACTGGTAGAACATATTCTTACCACCAAAAAAAAAAAAAAAAGGAAAAGACTGGGAGGTGGGGTGTGTGTGTGTGTGTGTGTGTGTGTGTGTGTGAAAATCAGTCAGTAAAATGAAGGATAGCTCTCATTTTTGCCTTCAGTTATTCTCCTCTGCAAAGAAAATGTATAACAGTGTTGTTTAGTAGTCATTGGATGTGTAAGAGGAGTACCTTTTTTCCTGTTTTTGTGATTCATAGGATCAGTTTTCCCCTGTTGGCACATAATTATAAATACAATTCACTTCTGAAAATTTTCATTTTTCTAACTGCTCTAGGTGGCACATGCCTGTAAGCCCAGTGGCTTGGGAGGCTGAGGCAGGAGGATTGTGAGTTCAAAGTCAGCCTCAATGAGGAGCTAAGTAACTCAGTGAGACCCTTTTTCTAAATAAAATATAGAAAAGGGCTGGGGATGTGGCTCAGTGGCTAAGTGCCTGAGTTCAATCCCTGGTTACCGCTCCCCCCCCAAAAAAAAAATCCATTTTCTTATGAAATTCCATTTATAGATTTGTTTCTGGGCTGTGGCTACCTCTGATGAATCTTTATATCAAAATTAAAAGAGCTTGTCCCTTTAGCTATTCTCTTGGCATGCTGGGATGTTACGAACCATCCATCATAACTTGGGATGAAATACAAAATATGTAAGCTAGTCTTCCGGGTTGAAAATGGGCAAAGATGATTATTCTGTGGCCTCTCTAAGTACCTAACAAACATTCTTTCTGTATCACCATAATTATACTGATTTTTCTTATCTTTATGTTGACAAATTTGTTTCTATTTTCGATGTAACTTCACAGAACTTTCTCGTAATACATCTTTTATAACTTCTCTCCTCCCTGTTCTTCAGTCTGCTAGGTCAAAGTATAAGGACTTTCAGAAAAGCAGAGTAATTATAAAAATTCCAGTTTAAAAAACTTGAAAGGAGAAGTTTTATACAGCACTGATTTGGGCTATGGGTTGTGTCCTGTTAACATGACAAGGGCTGTTAGTGAGTGTGCATTTCCGTGTCAGAACTGATGCCCATGCTCCTATCACAGAATTATAGATTCTCTTTTCTGAAAAGGAATATCTACAATAATGCCTTCAGTGCTTCCACATTTGGAATAGCCATTGCCATAGGCACGAAGGAAATTCTGCTCTTTAATGTGAGCTCCAATCTTACTTTATTGTGATGTGTCCATAAAATACAATTAGCTATACTAAAAAACGGTGGCCCCTGTTTTGAATAGCTATGTTTAAGGTGACAGATTAAGTATGGTTAGGGATCAAACATGTTATATATAGTTAATATCCATCATAAATTCGGTTTTGAAAAAATTAACCCAATATGAAGTTGAATTGCTTTGCCTCTCTGCCTCTTGAGAGTTCTCATTTTTCTGAGAAACCTTCCACTTCTACTTAAAGGTAGATGACATATCACTTTGCTGTTCTTTTATATATGTAGATAGATGTTCACTCACTAGATACTTATTGAGTGTATTTACCTTATGCCCAGCCCTCTTCAGACAGTAGTAAGCAAAACAAATGGTTCCTGTCATCACAGACTTAGAGTCTGGTAGGTGATAGAGACACTTAAGCAATCACACAAATATACATTTTACCAGTGATTAAAGAATTGTGTGTGTTGCTCAGATCATATAACATCGGGGTCCTGTTATAAAAAACAAACAAACAAACAAAAAAAACGGTGTTTAAAATAAGACCCAAAGATGTTAAGTCAAAGGCACGAGGTGGGCAGTGAGTGCAGAGCGGCCTCCAGTTGGCCCCACCTGGCATGTGTGTAGTGGCTCTTAATGTCCTCCATGTTGGAAATGCCATCAAGAGAGGAAGTTGTTATGTATGGTGATTCAGAAGTGAGAGGATCCGTTTGGTTCCATATGCCAAATTCTTAGTCTTCTAGACTCTCCTAGTAGTTGGTGCTTGATGGTCTTGTTTGTAATCCTTTTTAGATGCATTTTCATTCCTAAATTTATGCATAGCAAAGCTTTAACCTTCTATCTCAGCATTGCCCCCTCTCCTGCTTTGGAGCAGACTGAAAGGGAAGTAGACATCATGATCTGATTTAATGTTCATTTGCAGTTATTTTTGTTTTCTTTCATATTTCATTTATATTCTTAAACTTTAATTAACATTTGTTTTTCTGTTATGTTGTCTGTTTTCATTATTTTGAGTTGAAATCCCAAGTATCTGTCCACTCCTTCATCCTTCTAGCTTTGTTGTAAAAACAGAGCAGGAAAAGCAGCAGACAGGCACATGTGTGTCACGTTCCATTGTGTTTGGTTTCCTGATGCAAATGTTTATTCTTCGTCTTTTGTCTTATGTTCAAAGAGCAGCATATACCAAGTGGGAAGACAGGAGTAACTATAGGAACTAGATTCTATTTCCCTTCTACTGATTAGAAAGAACACTCAGTTTTTATTGCCTTTTTTTAAAAATCAATAGCTACAAAATAAAGAGAAGAAAAAAAAAGAGTGGTGATGTGACAGAATTGGCTAGTTTGTTTGAAATATAAAGTGTTAGATCTGTAATTCACCTTTTATTTATGCATTTCTGACTTAGGTTTTGGACTCTAGGAGTAAAAGCAAACCCTGTAGGAACGAGCTTTATGCTTCTCCCCTTAGCATGTATCTTGATGCCCATGCAGTCTATAAGCTTGCTACTCAGAAATTTCTGGCTGCACAGTCTTTGCCCACATGTGTCTGCCTCTCTTATCTTGTCAGTCACCTTACCTGAAGATAAAAGAGTCCTTAGAATAAACTAAAGACCCATAATACTGAGATTTGAAATTTATTTTAGTTATTAATCATATTTCAGTCACATTTCCCTGGTTTTTGTTTCCTGATTTCTGTTTTCTCTATCGGGAAACCTTAGAACTCTTGGTAATTCCTTATGTTTAAAGGTTTAATTTCTTTAATGGGATTCTCACCCCACCAGCAGTATTCACAGAGCAGTATCTTGGAAGTCTACTTCCAATTGCTACTCTTCTACCTACAGTGTAGTTCTTACAGAGAGTAATTTGAACTAGATTGGTTTTTGTCAGCACTTTGTCCAGTGTTTGAAATTTTTTCACGTGTCATCAGGGCTAAAAAGGCAGCTGGAGGCAGTTTGAGAGGATAGAACCAAGAAATGATCTTAAGATAAGGTGCAGAAGCCAGCTCAGGTTCAGGAAGCTACTCTCACTGAGGCTGAAAGCCAGCCTCTCCCTCTGTAGGATGCTCTGATGTTTGTTTCCTGGTGTCTGTCTCTAGGGCATTTGTATACCTGAGCAATCTGCTGTATCCCGTGCCCCTGATTCACAGGGTGGCCATCGTCAGTGAGAAGGGAGAAGTGCGGGGATTTCTGCGCGTGGCTGTACAGGCCATTGCAGGTAGGTCACCAACTCTGCAGTAAAGGCTGTGAGTTCTTGCCTGGAGACAAAGGTGGCTCTATATGGGCCTTGCTTCAGTCAAACCCAAATAGTGATATGTTTATCCATTATGAAGGCCTTTCTTACTTCCTTTCTAGCTCTTGTCCCCACATATCATAAATAGATTTTGTGGGCTAGGGTTGTGGCTTAGCGGTAGAGTGCTCGCCTAGCACGAGCAAGGTCCTGGGTTCAATTCTTAGCATCACATAAAAATAAATAAATAAAATAAAGGTATTGTGTTCAACTACAACTAAAAAATAAATATAAAAAAATAGATTTTGTTTTGTCTGGTCTACTACTACTTTGGAATATTGGCGTAAAAAGATTTCCTTTAACTTGAAGATAAGCTCTTGGAATGACTTTAAGTTATTGACATTTTAAATAATGTATCTTAATGTATGTTCAGAAGTGATGAAAGAGTTTTAGAACTTTTTCTTACCTAAATTTTCTTTCAGGATACTTCTAGTAGACATTTCTTTGGCTGCTATTTTGCAGCACATGGACCACTTTTCACTTATCCAGCTGACATTCTGAGGAAAGAATGTGGCCCTTTCCTGTATTTTTCTGTCTTAACTTCCAAATGCTTTGCCCTAGTGACTGTCACTTCAGTCTTTTTCCCATGGAAACCTATCACACAATCACCAATATTGAGTTTGTAGAGGTCTCCTCCACAAGTGCAGTATAATATTTTCAAATATTTGTTTTGTGTTATTCAACACAATCTTGCCAACATGGGAAAGGCTTAGTATTTCTAAGTGTGATATTTAAACCATCTCAGTGATAAAACTGATTCTTTACTAAGTAGTCTCACTTGAGCTAAGTGTGGTAAATCTACATGAGTCAAGTTGGAAACAGCCAATGTCATTTTATTATTTTAGAGTCATTTGTCCTTATGCAAAAGGACTGTCTTGTTTGTTTTATAATCCAGTAGGAGTTACATCTCCTCTCCCCATGTATTGTCTCATTTGATCCTTGCTGATGTTTTTCCACTTAGCGGATGAAGAAGCTCCCGATTATGGCTCTGGAATTCGACAATCTGGAACAGCTAAAATATCTTTTGATAACGAGTACTTTAATCAGGTGAGAAACCTTTGGTAAGCAGAAACACCTTGAGGGAAGAGAGGAAGTAGATGATTTTATCAGGAAAATGTCCCGCATTGGAGACCAGTTTTCCTGCCTAGAACTAAAAGTATAGGAGGCTGATTACCCCTGAGTTGCTCAGTAGTATATGGCTATGTCAAACAACTGCAGAGACCCGGCGTTTGTATTACTGTAGTGTTGCCTTTTCTTAGACAGTTCTTAATCCATATAGTTTTCCAGTGATTATTTGTTGGGTATACAGACATAAGAAAGAAAATAGGAAAATGTGTTTTTTCTATGTTCTCATATACACTCACCCCCATCCTCGCTGCCTTGCTTTCAGAGTGACTTTTCTTCAGTCGCAATGACTCGTTCTGGTCTATCCTTGGAGGAGCTGAGAATTGTGGAAGGGCAGGGTCAGAGTTCTGAGGTCATCACTCCTCCTGAAGAAATCAGTCGAACGAATGACTTGGGTGCGTAGACAGAGTTTACTATGATTGGGACATTGTCTACGAGGGAAAAATATGGGACATAGTTGTTTTCATCAACTAGTAATGGAAAGAACTCGCTCTTCTTCACATTATTTGACCCATGTGTGTGTTCCCTTGACCTTCTTTAGATTTGAAATCAAGCACTTTGCTGGATGGAAAGATGGTTATGGAAGGGTTTTCAGAAGAGATTGGCAATCATCTGAAACTGGGCAGTGCCTTCACTTTCCGAGTAACAGTGTTGCAGGCCAGTGGGATCCTTCCAGAGTATGCAGATATCTTCTGTCAGTTCAAGTAAGCCACCCTTTGTTCTGCCTATTTAGCCAGCTGTTAAGTGAGAAGATGTCCTCTAGTAGAGAGCTTTACACTCGTGGAGATATTAGTACTCTTGAGAAACTGTCTCCAAAGGAAAACACTTTGTTCACTCATAATGAGAGTGGGAATCAGAAACCTTTACTGGAATAATACAGGGTTCCTCATGGGGAGAAGTGAGCCATGTATCCTCCTGGACCATTCTGTTGTGAACTGTCCTCCTGTACCAAGAATGTAGAGTCTGATCCAGATAAGCGTACTTAGTGGTTTTAGTGTTCTTTTTTTTCTTTTTTTAATTTTTTGGTAGTTTTAGATGGACAGAATACCTTGGTTTTATTTGCTTATTTTAATGTGGTGCTGAGGATCGAACCCAGTGCCTCATGCATGATAGGTAAGCACTCTACCACTGAGCTACAGCCCCAGCCGTTTTTAGTGTTCTTCATGATGAAATGTCTGTCTTCTTCTGCTTTTTTTTTTTTTTAAGAATTTAACCTTTATTTATTTATTTAAATATTCATTTTTATTTATTTATTTAAATATTTATTTTTTTAGTTGTAGTTGGACACAATACCTTCATTTTATTTATTTTTATTTGGTGCTGAGGTTTGAACCCAGGGCCTTGCATGTGCTAGGTGAGTGCTCTACCACTGAGCCACAACCTCAGCCCCTATTTATTTTTATTTATTTATTTTTATGTGGTGCTGAGAATCAAATCCAGTACCTCACCTGTGCTAGGCAAGCGTTCTACAACTGAGCCACAACCCCAGCCCATGAAATGTATTCTTAATAAATAAGGATTAAATCAGTGAATTATCTCTAAAGAGGAGTAAACTATTATTGCATCAACTGAGAAAAGCCAGTGTGGAGAGAAGATTGTGGTTTCATTTCTCATTTACTCAGAATCTTTTTCTATCCTGTGACTTTCCAGAACCCTAGCCTATAGGTGCTTTCTTCTCAAGACCTCCCAGGAAAACACTTTGTGAATCTAAAGTTTTCATTCCTCTTAACATCAATATATTTTTCAATATGGGCTGCTGTGTAAGCCTACAGTTTGCCGCTGGTACTACCCAAAGACTGCTTTAGAGTTCTGTTGTCCCTTGCCACTCAATATGTGCCCCAGCCTTCCTGGGCATCCTGATGATGGAGCTTGGATGCTCCAAGCTTGTGTGTTTCAGCCAAGTCTTGAATTAAATGTGATCACTACATAGTAAGCCACCAGTACCATTTGCTGAAACTCATGAGTGTTATTGAAATACTATCCAGCCAGTTGATTTCAGCTATTTTGTGTGTTTTCACTAAGAGCCTCAAATTTAGGGTAGGATGGACATGGCTAAGATGAATCTGATTTGGGCAACTTTCACTATTATTTTAATAAGAAAAAGTGGGGCTGGGGATATAGCTCAGTTGGTAGAGTGCTTGCCTCGCATGCATAAGGCCCCGGGTTCAATCCCCAGCACCACAAAAAAAAAAAAAAAAAAAGAAAAAGTGATACATCTTATGAAACAGATCTGTTTGGTTAACTGATGTCTGAAATGACAATAGGAATGTAGGAATATGTTGCCCTTTGTCCTCAAACCCAAAAGAGCAGCACCTCCACCTATATTAGCTCAGGAGTTGAGAGCATGTGGACCAGTGGTCTGAGAAGACTCAGTTTTTCTGGGCTTTCCTCATCTCTCCACTGGTCTGAGTAGGGAAGGTGCAGCTCTGCAGCAGTGGCTTGAGGTCCTGACTCAGCACTGGGACCCAGGATATCTGCAGCACCCACAACAGCAGATCAGGTCCACTAATGCCCACAAAGGGCCTCTGGCAGGTATAATCTACAATCAGGAGAAGAAAAAAATAGAGAGGAGGATAAGAAAAGAAGGAGAGAGAGAGAGGAGTAATGAGAAGAAAGAAAATATAAGGATGCATGGAGTACTAGGAAAGCATGGAATCAGTGATTTGGAGCAATTGTCAAGAGCACATTGCTGCTCACAGACTATGAACTAATTTGGAAGATAACGAGTTCATCCTACTGGTCTTTCTGTCCCCCTATTCAAAGTATTTCCTTCCCCCTTCCCTTTTTATTTTCTGAATGGGGTCAGGGAGTTTGTGTGTGTATACCCTCGTGCACATGCGCGCGTGCACACACACACATGTTGGAGATTAAACCCAGGACCCCTCACATGCTGAACACACTGTCCCAGCCTGAGGGTCCTTCTGATGGATAGTTCTATGTGGCAATAAATCTGTGATAGGGATTCTTTAATTCTCCACTTTTAATTTCAGACTAATAATAGGGAGACTAACAATAAAATCTTATTATTTGTGAAGATAAATAAACATAGTCCGTTGATTCAGCAAGTATTTTTGGAGTATTTTTCTTTGTGTTAAGCCCTATTTGCTGCCTTTTGGGAAAATAGGCATATAAAAAGACATTATTACAAATAGTGAAATCAGGTTGTTAAGGAAAAACAGTTCCTAGGAACAAAACACTGTCAGCATAAGTCAGAAAAGACCTTCTGGAAGAGGTGACATTGGAATTTACTCTTATCTGAGCGTTAGAGACTCCCAGGCAGCTACATGATGAACAGACTTTCATATTACCTTATAGAAACTCAAGTCTGCCAATTTTTGCTACACAAAATGATCCCATCATTTTTATTTTCAATAAAAACTTCAACAAGGGAACAGGAGTTTGTTGAACTCACTTCTCATTCTCTAAAGCATTCTTGCGTATACATCCAGTTAAGTGGGTCAGTTATCTTGGTCAGTTAATTTTTCATTCATTTTTTCAAATAAAATCTAAAATGTTATTTGTGTGATATTGGAAATTATTGTTTGTTTTCTGGTGCTGGAGATCAAAACCAGAGGCTGGCACATGATGGGCAAATGTTGTATCACTGATCTCCATCCCCAGCCCAGAAGATGATCTTGATAAGGGAATAAATGTAAATAATTTTTGCTCAGTTAAAGAATCTACTTAAGTAGGATGGCTCTTACCATCAGATCCAAGTTGGGCTTTTAAAACAGAGATACTAATGAAACTGTTTAATACAATATTTGCTTGTTTTATCTTTTTATTAAGCTTCTTGCATCGCCATGATGAAGCATTCTCCACCGAACCCCTCAAAAATAATGGCAGAGGAAGTCCCCTGGGCTTTTATCATGTGCAGAATGTGAGTGATCTGGACATTTTTGCCAAGCATATCCTGGGTTTGGGGTGCCTCCGCTTTACTGGCTGAGGAAGGATGCCAATGTGCAGTGATAATTGGAAGCACTGCTGCTGGCCCTGCTAGTCTTGCACTTAGATGAGAGAATGGACAATAGAGGGAGTGGCCAAAGTGGTGAGGCAGTCCTCAGGGAGGGAGCTGCCAGCCTCTTGTCTGCGTTACAATGGTGGTGTGAGAGCTGGTCTACCAATGAGATCTTCTATCAGTTTGAATAGAAGATCAACTCAATTTGAGTTGTTTTAAATTTCTGTCCTATAAAAATAAGCCTATTTAATATTAGTTTTTTTAAAGTTAATACATTGTCCTTAAAACCCATATATATTTATATTATTTGGTTGCAAATAATGTAGAAGAAATTAAATATGTTCTGTGGTTAAATTAAGATTCTGTCTGTTTCCGTTTTATCAGATGTTGTGATTAAGTCACTAGGGCCCCTTACAGCCTTCTTCACAGATGGAGTAAGAGGTTGCAAGTTCAGGGCAAGCCTGGAGAACTTAGAGAGCAAGACCCTGTCTGAAAATAAAAAGGGTTAGGGATGTAGCTCAGTTGTAGAGCACCCCTGAGTTCAATTCCCAGAAAACACACACACACACAACACACACCACAGAATGTGGCTCTAGCCTTCAGGATTTTCACTACTACAGGATGCTGCCTTGCCTTTTCTTGTTAACCATGTTCACTCTATAAAGGAAGAGAGGAAGACAACTCCAGGGGAAGAACAAGTGAACACGAAATATACTTGTATGTATATGTGCGTATGCACACACCCATGCACATGCAATGCTCGGGATTAAACCCAACAGTACTCTACTATGCGCTACACACACAGCCCTTTTTAAAAAATTTTGAGACAAAAATCTCACTAAGTAGCCTAGGCTGGCCTGGAACCTTCCATCCTTCTGCATCAGCCTCCTGAGTTGCTGGGATTATAGACATATGCTACTGCACCTAGCTCAAAATACAGTATTTTATTTTTATTTTTTAAATATTTATTTTTTAGCTTTAGGTGGACACGATATCTTTATTTTATTTTTATGTGGTGCTGAGGATTGAACCCAGTGCCTCACACATGCCAGATGAGTGCGCTACCACTTGAGCCACATCCCCAGCCCGAAATATACTATTTTATTTTTATATTTATACATTTGAAAAACACATTTGTGTGATAAATATTAATTGCCTGCTATGCATAGAATTGTGCTTGATATGTTTGGGGAATGCAGATGAGTCATATAGGTGCCCCCCCAAGGAGCTTACAATTATGAGAGACTAGGTAAAATGCAGTAGTAGAACATGAAGATATGTGAGAAAAACATTTATTAAATGAAGTGAGAGTGGAGAAAGAAAATGTTTCTTCTGTATGCAAAGATATGTTAACTTTGTTGGGGAGCATGGTTAAATGGAGGAGAGAGATAGGAGCTTCATGATGGATGTATTATAAATAAGAAGTCATGTCAGATTTGCCTTGCTCGTAGTCTACAGTCAGTATGTGTTTTTCTTATTGATATTACTGTTTGAATGGGGCCTTGAAGTATAGGAATGACTAAGATATGTGGAGATATGGGAAGGGCCTTCCTGGCAGTGCGCCGCCTAGGCCAGCCCTCAGGCACAAGAGAGGAGAAAGCAGGTAGAAGGAGCCCCAGGTGAGTTTGAGCTGAAACATAAGTGTGTGAAAGACAACAGGGTCATCAGTTGGGGGACATTGTAGACGTTCTTGAACATCTGGAGCTTGTTAAAGTTACCTTAGAATGAAAAGAAGAGGGAGCCCCTGACTATTGGTGGAGGTGGCCTGTAGAGCAAAACACCCAACACATGTTGGGAGCCTAATAGTACTAAAGCCCTCACTGAAGTGCAAATGTGTATTTTTCTTATGATAAATCTCTCCCTAATCTTATATGGCTTTATTCCTTATTAGATTGCAGTGGAGGTCACTGAATCATTTGTGGACTACATCAAAACCAAGCCGATTGTATTTGAAGTTTTTGGGCATTATCAGCAGCACCCACTTCATCTGCAAGGACAGGATCTTAACAGGTTTGGACCAGATGAGCAAAGACTTTTGTTGTTACTGTTTTGATGATTATTCCTCAGTTGTAGGAAAGGAAGAAATCTTTTGAGGGTTGAAGATGACTAAATAATAGTTTTATGTATTACCTTATGTTTCCTTTTTAGAAATCTCACCACCTTTTTCTAGCTCCCTAATCACTAATGTTAGAGCAAATTGAATGTTGCCCCCAGATGACTTTGAATGCCATCCTTTTGTAGGAAGAGACTTTGAATAGTGTTTTAGTCAGCTTTTGTGTCACTGTGACCAAAATACCTGACTAGAACAACTTACAGGAGGAAAAGTTTTATTTGGGCTCACGATTTCAGAAGTCTCAGTCCATAAACGGCCAACTCCATAGCTCTGAGCCCAAGGTGAGGCAGCACATCATGGAAGCAGAGAAAAGCTGCTCAGCTCATGATGCAAGGTCAGGAAGCAAAGAAACAGAAAAGCAGGAAGGGGATGCAGAGATGAACCCTTCCACAGCATGCCCTACCTCCTCTAGCCATGCCCACCTGTCTACAGTTACCACCTAGTCAATCCTTCAAAATAGGATTGACTAATGAGGTCACAACTCATAATCCAATCATTTTACCTCTGAACATTCCTGCATTAGCAGTGGCTTTCAGGGGACACCTCATATCCAAACCATAACAAATATGGTAGAAAGTTGGGGGTCTTAGGATTATAACATGGAAGTTGTATATAATTGTTCTAACAACCCTCAAATTCATAAAGCAGAAACTTTTTGAGTGGAGTCAAGACTGATAAGAAGCTGGGCACAGTGTCACACACCTATAACCCAGCAGCTCCCGAGGCTGAGATAGGCAGATCACATGTTCAAAGACAGCCTCAGCAAGTTAGCAAGGACCTAAGCAATTTAGCAGGACCCTGTCTCTAAATAAAAAATATGAAAGAGGCTGGAGATGTGGCTCAGTGGTTCAGTACCCCTGGGTTCAATCCCAAGTACCAAAACATAGATTGATGAGAAGAGCAACTAGAGGGGCTTTTTTTTAATATTTATTTTTTAGTTGTGGGTGAACACAATATCTTTATTTTATTTTTATGTGGTGCTGAGGAGCCAACCCAGTGCCTCACCCATGCTAGGCGAGCACTCTACTTCTGAGTCACAGCCCAGCTCTAGAGGGGCTTTTTTGATAGTATCAATGTCAGTGTTAACAGGTGAATTTTTTTGATCTCATTTAGTAACTGTGAGTTATAGAGGGCTTTTTAAAAAATACATTAGTCTGTTCACTGTGTGGGATTATATGTGGTAAATGATATGCCAGAGTTGAAAATGTACAAAATTCATTTTCTTAAAGGGAATTTAAACATGCCATTAAAATGAACATCTGATTCTTTTTGGTCCTGAATTAGTTTGTATTTCTGTCTTTACAGTCCACCCCAGCCCTCTCGACGATTCTTCCCTCCACCCATGCCACTCTCCAGGCCAGGTGAGCATCTGTATTCTTTGCCTGATATTCTCTGTGTGAACACATCCTTATTCTAAATGATTTCAGAAACCAATCACATCCCTCCTTTTCTGTGCATCCTTATATATTCCTGCTTCTCTTGTACGCATCTATCAGAGCTAAAATTTTTGGTTCCTGATCTACAAGTAAGCTGGGTGTTGGGGATGCACACCTGTAATCTCAACTCTTTGGGAGGCTGAGGCAGAAGGATGGAAAGTTTAAGGCCAGCCTCAACAACTTTACAAGACTCTGTCTTAAAATAAAAAAGGCTGGGGATTTAGTTCAATGGTAGAGTGCCCCTGGGTTCAGTTCATAGTACTGGGGGAGGGAAAAAAAGAAGTAAAAAAACAATATATCTCTGTATTTGCCAGTTCTCTGGTCTTATGCAGATTTTTATAATCTCTCTCTTCCTAAATATCTCTGCTTTATTTGTAACTCTCCCAAACTGTCAGTCACTGGATATTTCTTTGCATATTAAACTTATTCTGCATGTTCATTTATCTTGGTTTTTTTTTTGTTTTATTTTATTCTTGATTGATTACATAATAAGTACATACTTACGAGTTCTCTCCAGTTATTTTGAAATATGCAATACATTATTGTTAACTATAATCACCCTACTGTGCAGTACAATACCAGAACTTGTTCCTCCTCATTTATATTGTTTGATTTTTCTTTATTTTTGTCCTTTTTCCTCATTGCCCACTTGTCAAATTCCCATCCCACCCTGTTCTCATTCTCCACCCGCTATACTCCTCATCTTCATCGGCCTTCAGACCACGAGAGAAAGATTGAGCTGATTCGGTTTCTCGTGTCTGGCTATGTGAATGTGCATGTACTGGACATGTTTTCTGAGCACGCCAGTGTGCTTGCCTCCTCTGCTGTTGCCACCTTCCAGAACGAGGCTGACCCAGTGCCGCCTTTTCTTTTTCTGCCAGTTCCCAGCTGCCAGAGCGAGAGGGTACCCAAACGAGATGGTTAGTAGCTAAATTAGCTGTCTTAGATGTAGAACCAACTCAAGGGCTTGTCCTGAAGCCTGGCTCGCCGTGTATGAAAACATCTATGTTTTTTTGCTCCTTGAGCTGAAAGTAGAGTTCACCATATTGTCAAGATCACACCGTGTTTCTTTCAGAGTGCTTTTAGGAAGCACCTTTGCTGCCTGTGCTTCTTTCACATCACCCTAGGGGTGAGGCGCTCCTGATACTTTTTCTTTGGATTCTTTGAAGTAGTAGTTTTAATTTTGAAGATTTTTACTAATAGTTGGTTTTGTTTTGTTTTATTGTGTTTCCAGTCCTGAGGTTAGGGTTGGAACCCGGGGCCTTGCACATGCTAAGCAAGTGCTCTACCACGGAGCTGTACCCCTACTCTTTGTTTGCTTTTTTAAATACTTGTGGTTGTTCTTTCTGACCCTCAGATGACTGCCAGAACCATAATCCTATTTTCTTCCTCACCAGCACCACCAGTGCATGTGAAATTCATCTGGGGTGAATACACCTGGTAGGATGCACATATGATTCATAAAGCTCTTCCTGTCTATTATGGTAGTGGGGCTTTATGATACCTTTTCATGGTAGCAGACTAAATATTATTATGTGCTTTTTATACACCAAGGAGACAGAGGTTAAGCAACTTAATTAAGAATTGCACAGCATCAAAACCATTAGGAACCTGGAATTTAAATCTGAAGGAAACATGTAACAGGTCATTTAGAGATTCCTGTATTTACAAATTAGACCACTGGTTTCCAGATTTGTCTGCATGTTGGAATTCTAAGGAGGAAGTCCATAGACTGATGTAGATTATTGGGGACATGGCCTAGGTTTTGCCATCCTTAAGATCCTTGGTGACCCTTGGGTGCAGGAAGATCTGCAAGCTGTGGGTTGAAGGATAGATCTTCACTTCACCTCTCCAGCTTCCATGGAGCCTCATGATGTGTGAAGTTCCTCTCTACATCCTTTTTAAGCACTGTCTCTATGCCATTCTACAGTGATACCATGCCACAAAATAAGATTCTAGAATTGAAGAGTTTTTAGTGATTTTGTGAGCACATTTATTTTGCATAAATCTGTTTTCTTATCTTTGAGGACAGTCTGTTAAGGAGGAAAAAGATTCTCTCCATTTTTCTTGTTCTCTTAATTAGAGGTACCTACATGGTTAATATTGGGTCATCTTTGAAATCTGTCTTCTGACCTGCTGCTTTTCCTAAGTGTGTCCTTGAATGCTAACATTAGAGAAGCTTCAGCTTTTGCTTTTGGACCAGATTTGATATTTTCTAAAATTTTTTTTTAAAGTTCCAGCCACCAAATTAAACCCCATGAGCAAAACCAGCCTTGGCCAAAGCATGAGCAAGTATGACCTCCTAGTTTGGTTTGAGATCAGTGAACTGGAACCTACAGGAGAGTAAGTCCAACTTTCTAAATTTTAATATAGAGCAAAGTGTTTCAAAATTAGGAAATGTAATATTTGACTCTCCTATTTGAAGAGATCCTGTATGTGGTTGTCAGCAATGATGTCACTTTGAAGAATTTGATTATCAGGGGACAGATCATTAATGCACTGTAAGGAAGATATAGTTACAGTGATGGTTTCTACCAGTTAGTTGCTTTTTGGATCTTAAAAAAAAAAAAAAAAAAAAGATCTAGAACCTGAAATTATCTCTTTCAATTGCTTTGCATTTATACGGTATTTACTGGACTCTTATGTGAGGGCCAGAGGTGAGACCAAAAAATGTTACTGTCCTTTGAGTATTTCAGTCTAGTAAAGATGATGAGACACCATAGACATGTGGAAAGGGTTGTAAAGGCCAATGGTTTTGTGATTAAATGCCAACATAGGTGAGAGAGAGAAGAGATCAGAGTTTTGAAAAACAAAGATCACTGGGCTACAGTGCTTAAACATAGCTTTGCTTTATATATATTTTAGAATAGCTATTTCAAAAAAGTTTTATTTTCTTCAATTATTATTTTGATGTTTCTTCCTCAGATCTTAGTTTATATATATGCTTGCTTTTGTATATATTTTAGAATAGCTATTTCAAAAAAGAGTTTTATTTTTTCAATCACTATCATTTGTGAAGCTCCCTTGTGATTTTTATATACTTATCTTGATGTTTGGAAATTCTATGCTTTCACAGCCAGAATGTCTTAAGAGGGTTAAGGAAGGCCTTGTAGATGAGAATAGTACTGACTTCTGTCTTTTGCATTTCTATTTTTATAGGTATATCCCAGCTGTGGTTGACCATACAGCAGGCCTGCCCTGCCAGGGGACATTTTTGCTTCACCAGGTACAAAGACAGGGGGAAACACCTAGGAGCGAACCAAATAATTTAGAAAAAGAAATAGGGGGCTGGGGTTGTGGCCCAGCGGTAGAGCACTCGCCTAGCACATGCAAGGCCCTGGGTTCAGTCCTCAGCACCACATAAAAATAAATAAACAAAGGTATTGTGTCCAACTACAACTAAAAAATAATAATAATAAAAAAAGAAACAGAACACCCCCCTCCCTTCCTCCCTTCCCCTCTCCTTCTCTTTCTCTCTTTCTCTCTCTCTCTCTTTCTGTCTTTCTTTCTGTTCTTTTTTCCATATCAATGCTTTGTAATAATATAGTGATATTCATGTTACATATTCATACAGGCACACAATATAAATTTGGTCAGCATCATTTCCCAGTATTTCCCCTTTCCTTCCCCTCAGAACTCTTTATTTTTCTCAGCTTTTCATCTCTATTTCAGGGATAGGGAGCTGAGAGGAAGAATGTTATCCTCTCTTTTTATTGGTTGCTGGGTATTGAACCCAGGGCTCACAAATTGTTTTTCTTTTGTGTGTATGTGTGTGTGTGTGTGTTTTTTAAGGCCTTGGCTTATATATACCCTTGCTTTTATATATATTTTAGAATAGCTGTTTCATAAAAGGATTTTGTTTCATTCATTTACTATTATTTGTGCAGCTCCTTGTGATTTCATATACTTACCATAATGCTTAGAAGCCCTGTGCTTTCACAGCCATAATCTCTAATGATGGGTAGAGGATGAAAGTTGTGATAGACTTAAATCTGATTTTTCAATTTACATCTCACTTGGGTAAATCAAAAGTGAATTCAGTCAGTGCTCAGAACTGCTTGGGCATGGAGCAGGGAGTCCCATAGTTGAGACACACAATCATGGCATCTCTCTTGAAACCTTATCGGAATCTGAATATTGCTCAGTTCCTGGCTCACCCCACTTTGTTTAGAATAATAACATGGAGAGATTTTCTCCTACTTCTCCATCTTTCTCCTTCCTGCCCATTCCTATGCCATACAATTCAGAAAACAACAAATAAGAGGAAATGATAGATTGCCCCAGCTAACTCACAGCCCTATTCTATTACCCAGGGTATCCAGCGAAGAATCACAGTGACCATTATCCATGAGAAGGGGAGTGAACTCCACTGGAAAGATGTCCGTGAACTGGTGGTAGGTAAGTATACATCAGCTAAGAATAGAACCTGGCTGTTTATTTATTTGTTTATTTATTTTCAAATATATTTATTTATTTTATTTTATTTATTTATGTTATGCTGACAATTGAACCCAGTGCCTCACACATGCCTAGCAAGTGCTGTATCACTGAACTATAGCTGCAGCACAAACCTGGCTTTTTAGACATGTCATTATTCTCTGTTTGGGACACTGGTTATATTCTGTGTTCTCCAGTATAGAGAACACAGTATATGAGGATGATAAGAGTCCTTGAGTTTGAAACCCTTCAGGGCTAGGAGTGTAGTTCAGTGGCAGAGCGCTTCGCTAGCATGCTTCAGGTCCTAGGTTCGATCTCCAGTTATTCTCTGGCTATACACAAAAGTGAAATTCTGGTTTCTCAGTTCCCATTATTGAGTTAACAGTGAAAACAACGTAGGAGGACTGGGTTAACTTTGTGAGAAAGGTTCTGAATGGATTCAAGAGAATTTGTTTTCTAAACATAAACATTTTAAGTAAGAGAGGCCTAACATGCATATGCCTAACATCAAATGGCTAGAGATCCATGACCAAAGTGGAAAAATCAAGCATCCTACAGAGTAAGAGCTTCAGAATGGTAGTCCAAGGCAGAGGTTCAGAACCTTTGTTGCCATGGACCTTTTGGCAATGGTAAAGCCTTAGAAAATAAATTACAAAAGAAATTAATGATACTGGAATACAACTGGTAAGATTAATTAAACACATTTGCACTACAATGTATTCTTCGTTGAGGCATTAAATCACAAGATCTAACGTGAGTCTGATGACCATAATTCCACAGTGGTGATGGATGAATGAAAATCAGTTTGATGTGGAAACATCTGTGGTTAATACAGGGGACAGAGTCAACAGGTACTGCTAATTCATATGTGGTTTATTGCCTTCCATAATTCAAGGAAATGTCAAATTTCAGTTAATTGTTTGTGAGAATAAAGATATAATTTTTTCTCCATCTAAGTGATGGACTGCTTGAGTTCTATCTATGGACTTTTGTGTCCCCATGAACCAGATTAAGAACCTTGGGAGGAGATTATACTTTCTTATCTGAGGCAGTGGTTTTTAAGCTTTTTCAAAATTATTTTTTAAATATTTATTTTTGGGGGCTGGGGATGTGGCTCTAGCGGTAACACGCTCACCTGGCATGCGCGGGGTGCTGGGTTTGATCCTCAGCACCACATAAAAATAAAATAAAGATGTTGTGTCCACCGAAAACTGAAAAATAAATTTAAAAATAAATAAATAAATAAATAAATTTTTTTTTTTTAGTTGTAAGTGGACACAATATCTTTATTTATTTATTTTTATGTGGTGCTAAGGTCGAATCCAGGGCCTTGCACATGCTAGGTGAATGCTCTACCACTGAGCCACAACCCCGGCCCTCAAAATTATATTATTATGGCATATTAATGTACAAAACAGAAGAGATGTTTTTATTTTTATTTTTTATTTTTTAAATATTTATTTATTTTTTAGTTCTTGGCGGACACAACATCTTTGTATGTGGTGCTGAGGATCGAACCTGGGCCGCACGCATGCCAGGCGAGCGCGCTACCGCTTGAGCCACATCTCCAGCCCCACAGTGACAATGTTTTTAGATTAGAAAGGAAGGGGGAAGATCCAGAAGCAGTGGTCCCTCGGGCTTCTCTGAGGAACTCTACAGTTTAGTTTGACAAACTCTTTTGTGTAATGTTTATCAGGCACCATGTGCTTTTCTGAGTGCTTTAAAAGTATTAGTTTATTTAATCTTAGTAATAGTCACATAAGGGAGAAATTATTACTGTCATGAACTGAGGCTCAGAATCAGGATGAGTGTTAAGCCTCATAGCTAGTGAGAGTCAAAGCCACAACTTGAATCCAGCTGTCCAGCTCTCAAGGTTGTGTTCCTATCATCTGTGGAGTACTGTGTCCCCTAGTTTTATAGCATTTAAAACAACAGAGTTGTGGCATTTTGAGCAAGAAAGTGGTAGAATAAAGTCAGTGGCTAAAGAACACATTGGAATGGAGGACATGTGACTAGCAAGGAGACCAGATGAATGGCTGTTGCCAGTTCCAGATTGAAGGGGAAGATGGCCTTTGTGAGCAGGACAATAATATTGAGAGTAAAAACTGAGATCAATACAAAAAATTCTTTGAACAAAGAATAAGGTTTCGTGAAGGTGGGAGTTCATAACCCACTTGAATCAAAGTGTGGAATATGATATGTCAAGAAATTTGTAATGTTTTGAACAACCCACAATAAAAAATTAAAAAAAAAATAAATAAGAAAATAAAGGCATAAGGCATAGAAGTCAAAAAAAAAAAAAAGAATAAGGTTTCAAGGCTGGAATAAGGTTTCAACAACTGACTAAATGTGCAAAACAGGGGAAACAAGACAGACTGGAGAAGCCTTCAGGACCCTGCGCTTAACCAGTTACAGTGAAAACGACCTAGGAGGACTGGGTTAACTTTGTGAGAATGGAAAGTTTGTTTTGGACTTAATATGTTAATGTCTGGTTTTTAATGTGCCTTTCTTCTGGTTTCTTTATTATTTCTGTTAGGCCGGATTAGGAATAAACCTGAGGTGGATGAAGCTGCGATCGATGCCATCCTGTCCCTGAACATCATCTCTGCCAAATACCTGAAGTCTTCCCACAACTCTAGCAGGTGGGGCATCCTAAGAAATGCATGCAGATGAAGAAACTAATTTACTTCTCACTTCAAAATTCCCTATTTCTTCCTTTGCCTACCCAGCTCTCAAAAAAGAAAGAAAAGTGATTGGATTGTGTGTGATCATTTACCTTTAGAGAATGGATGTTCTACTCCTACCTTAGATGTTGCCACGTAGTAAAGAAAAACCAGACCAAAAACCTCGGCATACTACCCAAGGGTTTAAAAGTGCCCATCAATTATTGCTAAACCTAAACATTTTCTGGTGAAATGGTTACTGTGGAGAAAGGTTTCTCACTGCTGAGTAGCATGGAAATTTGTCCTCCAAGGAATAGTAAAGCCTTTTGCATTCAGTCTTTGCTGCTGCTAGTATAGACTTAGTCGTTATCAATTTTTGCTTCTTATTTCCATTTATGCATAAAGTTGATAAATTAATATAAACTCTTGTGTCCAAGAGTGACTGCTGTAAATAGTGGATTTTTATTGTTTTTAATTTTAAACTAGTTTCTCTCAAAATATTCTTTTATATCCAAGCGATGACAGTGCATTAAAGTACATGTTCATGTTGCTTCATGTGTGATAGACTGGAGACAGACCTGCTGCTTCCTCTTACCTCACCCATGAAAGGGGTTATGAGTAAGGCTGACTCAGAGAGTCCATCTCTTTCTTTTGTAAAGGCTGGGAAGCAGGAGCAGCTATATATATATTTTATTTACTTTTTAGTTGTAGTTGGACACAATAATCTTTATTTTATTTTTATGTGGTGCTGAGGATCGAACCCAGGGCCTTGCACATGCTAGGCAAGCGCTCTACTGCTGAGCCACAACCTCAGCCGAGCAGCTGTAGGTTTAATGTGGGCTGAGAATGCTTCTCGTTACAGGGCTTCTCTGTACCTCCATCTACTGAAAAACTTGTTCGTGTCTATTTGGGAAGAGGGAGGGGAAAATGAGAAGTTTTGCATACAAAGAGGAAAAAGGAATAAACTTCTGCTTGCTTTTTTGCATGTAAGGTTAGCTAGCAGGGACTGTGGAAAGGGAGGAAGGAATGTGTAAGCAGGTATGTATTTGGGGAGTGGATAGAGAGATAGGGGGGTGTGCATTGACCCTTCCTGGGCAGAACTGTGAATAATCCCATTTCCCTAAAGTCAGTAGTAACTCCACATAGCTTTCTCTCTTCTGCTAGACATTATTTATAGTCAATATTCAGCTAGCATTCACTAGTACTGTTTTCTTTGCAATTTTAAAAAATGTATCTTAAATGTTCTTAGGATACTTAGCAAAATACCAGGGAATGATGGTGTTTGGTTTAAATGCTGGTTGTGCTGACTTTACCTGCGTTAGAGTAACATGAAAGGTTCTTTGTATTCACCCTTTGGTACTGGGGATTGAACCTAGAAGCATTCCATCACAGTACTACATCCCCAGCCACCCTCACTTAAAATTTTATTTTTTAAATTGTGAGACAGAGTCTTGCTAAGTTTCCAAGGCTGGCCTCAAACTTGGCAGTCCTGCCTTAGCCTCCCAAGTAGCTGGATTATAGCTGTGTGCCACCACCCTTGGCTTGAAAATGTCCTTTGGCTCATGCCCAGCAGCAGATCAGGCTGTAAGAAATGAATTTGCCGTCTTTAGAAGCAGCTTATCTTATATAATAGAACCGTAAAATTAGTTAATAAAAAAGTTGACTAAAGTTAAGAATAATGAAAAGATTGTTTAAAGGTGTCTTTCTGTTGTAACTTAAGTGAAATACACTTATATCACTTATCAAGCTTTTGCTGTAGGACCAAGGCCTTTTCTTTAATTGCAGAATTATTTATTGGAATTCTGTTTATTTTCTTATAAAACCACACTCATCATCTATGATTTTCAGTTTGGTAGAACCGGAATTAGAAAGCCTATAAAGAAAATCTAAATCCAAAATCCTTTCAAATTTTTATCATTTATCTCATTAACATTTTATCACTTAAACATCTTATAATTTTACTCTTTCTTTTACATTTATCTTGCTCAAACTTCATTTAAACAGCTGTTTTTAAACAACTCAAAACTATTGAATTTTTAGGGGCTGGGGCTATGGCTCAGTGATAGAGCACCTACCTGCCTTGCACATGTGAGGCACAGGGTTTGATCCTCAGCTCCACATAAAAATAAATAAAAAGATATTGTGTCCATCTACAACTAAAAAGATATTTTAAAAAAACTATTGAATTTTTAGAATAAGAATTCTTTTTATCTTCATATTTTATTAATTTCCTTAATGTTTCATTAGATAATAATAAGCACAACTGGCATAAATAGGTTTTGGGCCAGAAATAGAAATGTACTACTCACAGTGGGTAAGTTTAAAATCATCTTTTTTTTTTTTTTTTTTGGTACCAGAGATTGAATCCAAGGGCACTGAACCACTGAGCCATATCCCCAGCCCTATTTTATATTTTATTTAGAGACAGGGTCTCACTGAGTTGCTTAGCGCCTCACCATTGCATTTCCTTAATTGAATGTCTCAGGAAAAGGGACCATGTCATTGTAAATGCTGTATCAAATTGGATCCCAATATCTGTCAGTTGTCCACTTGAATTCACTTTGCTTATTAGCAAATTTGACTTTTCCATGTTTTTTTGTTTTTGTTGTTTCTGCTTTTTCTTTTTCTTTGTTCCCTCCCTTCTGTTGCTGCACTAACAAAAGCCCTTTCTATGTTTTTGCAGGCTCTTTCTTGATAAGGATATTCCTAGGTATTTTCTGTTTGTTTCTTTGCACATAAAGATTCTAGTTTATCAGAATGCTTTATGTCTTATGTTGCTTTGATTATTATTTTAATTTAGTGGTTTGTTCCCCATGTAAATCTAAGCTGTGCCTAGGATAGAGCAAGACCTTTTTCTTTGTGTCCTGGGTTTTTCTGCTGTGTGTACATTTTCACATATAACTTCATAATTTTAGAGTTCTAAATTATTTTCTCATTCCTTTTACTAAGTTTGTCCATTTTATTCTTATACCCTTTAAGCTTTTCTTCTCTACTTTGCAAAGTGGAATGCCCATCTCCCCTCACTTTATATGGAATATCAGGCCTTGTTCTCTGTTCTCTTTTGTCCCTCCTCTCTCTCTCTCAAAAGCTTGAGAGGTTTATTGCTCTACCAAAACCTTTGAAAACTGCTCACATTCTTCTTTGTTTTTTCTGCGTGGTAGTAGAGACCACTTTGGCTAGCTGAGTCTGTGTGAAGAAATGTTAAGTGTATTTGTAAACATTTTTCATTCTTCTGTCAAAGGTCCTTATCTTTCTTATTTTGGAATAGAAAAAAGTCTGGATTAGTAGTAAAGAAAGTTTTTCCCATCTCTTCCTTTATTTGATTTAGGGAAGCAAGCTGAAAGAAGCAATGCATGACAATATAGCCTGAATGTTTTTTGACTGATATTATTAATGAGTTTACGTCTTATTTATTTGTTTGTTTGTTTTTGTGGTGCCATGGATCAAACTCAGGTCTGGGACTGCACTCCCACAATACTGCCAGATCCAAGTTTTTTTGTTTGTTTTTTGTTTTGCCGTGTTGGGAATGGAACCCAGGGTCTTAAACTTGCTAGGCAAATGCTCTACCACTGAGCCACATCCCTGGCCCCAAGTTTATATCTTAACCCGGACTCCATCTAGTTGGTATTTCAGAGAGTCTCTTAGTAAACTCAAGAGGGTCCATCAGGGGCTGGGCTTAGAGTACTTGCTTAAGCACACATGTGACCCTGACTTTAATCCCCAACACACACACACACACACACACACACACACACAAAAAAAAAATCCTATTTTATATTTTATTTAGAGATAGGGTCTCATTGAGTTGCTTAGTGCCTCACCATTGCATTTTCTTAATTGAATGTCTCAGGAAAAAATTAGTTATGACCATAAGAAGTTGGTTTTTAAATTGTTCGCAATTAATAATTCAAGTGAATATATAATTTAAGCAGTTACCTTGAAACCTGTTTCTTACTTTGGTCCTGTGTTGGTCAGCACATCTTTAGGGAATGTATTTGGAATCATTTTTCACTACCTCCTGAACCATACAGGAAAAAGCATGCACTGGGACTCAACTCTGTTTCTAACTCCAGGTTCTCATGCCAATTATTATTATTATTATTATTATTATATTATTGTTATTATTATTATTATTTATCCTCCTCCCCTCCTCTTCCTCCCCCCCCTTCCTTCTTCTTCTTCACCAGGATTTGAACCCAGAGGCATTTAACCACTGAGCCACATTCCCAGCCCTTTTTAATATTTTATTTTGAGACAAGAGTCTTTCTGCGTTGCTTTAGGGCCTCACTAAGTTGCTTAGGCTGACTCTTAATTTTTAATCCTTCTGCCTTGGCCTCCCCAGCTTCTGGGATTACAGGCATGCCCCACCACACCTGGCTCATGCCAGTTTCTTTTAATTGATATTGCTTACCAATCTCAGAGTATTTCTTATAACCACCTCTCAAGAATTGCCACCTTTGAGCTGGGCACATTGACCCTACAGCTGGACCAATTTGGTACTGGGTTTAATCCCCAGTACCAAAAAAAAAAAAAAAAAAAAACCTGCCATTTTTGGTGGGTATTCCAATAGAATGTTTTGTAGCAACTACAAAACAAAACACACAAATTTTTTTCAATATAGCAATGTTTTAGTGAAGTCAAAATTTCCTTTATGTTAGCCAGGTTTCTGCCAGTGAAATTTTCACTTTAGGTTACGTGAAAACACAAATTTGGAGAGGCTTTCCTGTACAAGTGTAAAACATTGCCTCAGCTGAAAGACCCAGATGAGCAAACTGAGGCACAGAGATTTTTCAAAACAGGGATTTGAACTCAGGGTGGAGTTCTCTGGAGCTCAGAGCAAATCACTAAGTATAGGCTATAGGCAGCAGTGATAGGAATTTCTCTCAGCTGTCAGAGGGACTTTTTTTTTTTGGGGGGGGGGGCTAGTACAAGTAGTGGCTGTCCCTGTACCATCTGATAGGTAGGCCCTAGTCTAGGCACCTTGACAAAGGCCATAACACAATAAAAGAACAGCTGTTGAGGTGATTATAGTTCTTAGGTGGCTTCTGCTGAAATGGTGAATATTGTCACCCAATGTTAGAATCTGTCTTAAACCAGATTAAAGCGAAGATTGTATCTAAGCAGGGCTATGTGGATGCCTCCCTGAACCCAGAAGCCATGGAAAGTTTCCTGTTGTCTATCATTTAATTTGCTGTTTGAGCCCCTTGGTGACTTTATCTTATTAGCTGCTTCTATGTATAGTCCTTCAGTGTCTTTGTTGAGAATTTTATGACCCAAGCTTGTTGCTTTAAAAGCTAGCCATTTAAGAATTAGTCCTGTAAGAGTTAAATTAAAAAGCAGCTATAAAGGGGCGTGACCACACCTTATAGGCACTTGGAGTATGTGTGGTCCAGGAGCTCACTTTCAGAAATGTGTCATTTCCTTTGTTCATTCCAGAGGATGAAGCATTGGGTATGTTTAGAGAGGACTTGCCTGCTAATTATCACAGGAGACCTAGAGAAGGCAGAACCAGTCAGATCACCATTTGGGCTAGACTAAGGAGGAACCTAGTGGTAGGGTGCAGACACTCTTCCTAGGTGAGTCAGATGTGCTATGGAGAGCTAGTGGTGGTGGAGTAGACGAAGCATCTTCCCTGACACATGTCATGGTCACAAGGAGGGAAGGGTGAGGCAGAGCCTGAGGTTGATCTGTAAAACTGCCATCAAATCCAGCAGTGTTTCAGATGAGACTTGCTAAACTGAAAGGGTGAATGTCAGCTTGTCTGTATTTTTTGTCAGTAGGGAAAAATGATATTAGAACAATTCAAAAAACATTTTTTGGGTATCTTCTAAGTTTAGCTTCTGATTCTTTCTTAAATAAAAGATTGTCTGGGGGCTGGGGATATAGCTCAGTTGGTAAAGTGCCTGCCTCTCATGCACAGGCCCTGAGTTCAATACCCAACATACACACACAAAAAAAAAAACATTGGTTGGGTGTGGTGGCATACACCTATAGTCCCAACAGCTTGGGAGGTTGAGGCAGGAAGATACAAGTTCAAGGCCAGCCTCAGCAACTAAGCAAGGCCCTAAGCAACTTAGTGAGAACCCTGTCTCAAATAAAATAAAAATAAAAAGGGCTGGAGTTGTGTCTAAGTGGTTAAGCACCTCTGGATTAAATCTCTAATACCTAAAGAAAATGTATGAAATACAAAAAGTAACAAATGATAACAGCTGGCTCTTGTTTAAAAAATCATCCTTTTTTGGGGAGTACCAGGGATTGAACTCACGGACACTCAACCACTGAGCCACATCTCCAGCCCTATTTTGTATTTGATTTAGATACAGGATCTTTTATTGAAATACCGGCTCTTATTCTTTTATTTAGAACAAGGCTCTCCATATTTAAAATTCTTCTACCTGTTCCCACCAGCAAGCCTTCCGGATGTATTTTTTGTTGTTGTTACTGGGGATTGAACCCAGGGGCACTTAATCACTGAGCTATATTCCCAGCCCTTTTTTAATATTTTTATTGTGTGTATATATATATATTTTTTAATTGTCAATGGACCTTTATTTTATTTATTTATATGCAGTGCTGAGGATTGAACCTAGTATCTCACCCATGCTAGGCAAGTGCTCTGCCCCTGAGCCACAACCCCAGCCCTTTATGTTTTATTTTGAGACAGGGTCTCAGTAAGTTGCATAGGGCCTCACTAAATTGCTGAGGTTGGCTTTGAACTCGATCCTCTTGCCTCAGCCTCCTGAGCTGATGGGATTACCGCACCTGCTCCCAGATGTATTTCTTATGTTTTTTTTTTTTAAGAGAGAGAAAAATTTTAATATTTATTTTTTAGTTTTCGGCAGACACAACATCTTTGTTTGTATGTGGTGCTGAGGATCGAACCCAGGCTGCACGCATGCCAGGCGAGCGCACTACCACTTGAGCCACATCCCAGCCCCTGTATTTCTTATGTTTCTGAGGCTTGGCAGTGCTGGCCTATGAAGATCAGATCTGGTGATGTGAAGATTAGATCTGCTTTCATCATTGAATGACAGGGGAGCTTGCTTAGTTTTTCTAGGATTTTAGGCATACTCACTTATTCTTCTCATCTTAATGTCTTTAGTTTCTCACACAGTTTTTATGTTCATAGACAGAAGCTTGTCCTAAAAGAAGAACAATGTGAGCACTGCCAAGTATACCTTAATGATGGGTGGGGCAAGAGGATAAGGACCTACTTTTCCTCCTAGGAGATGAGGGTAATAAATAAAAGTGTTGATGGCTGGTGTAGGATTCCTTAGGATTACTGACAGTAACAGAACCTGGACTACAGTATCAACAGCTGCTCTTGGCTGATGCCCTCATGTGTTTCTGACCTCAGGACTTTCTACCGTTTTGAGGCAGTATGGGACAGCTCCCTGCATAACTCCCTTCTTCTGAACCGAGTGACACCCTATGGAGAAAAGATCTACATGACCTTGTCAGCCTACCTAGAGGTGAGTAGACTCAGAACTTCAAGGACTGTGAGTATCCAGCCCAGAGCATTGGGCAAGTTATAGAGTCAGTCAGGGAAGATTGACGTATTTCATCCTCCTTTCTTCCTCCACATCCTTAAATTATATGCTTCATTATACTTTGTTGATTGTTATATTAGTTTGTGTTCTTGCTCTCTATTTAGTCAAAAGATCCCAAATTTTATGATGGCTTATGCTTTAGTAACCCAGTTACCATTCTTTTAAAGAATGTATGACTTTAAAAAAATAGCACCTCTTTGTTTTCATGGTTGTGGCAGAGCATAGGAGTGGTTCCACAGCCGAAAGCCTGAAAACACCCTGAGTTCAAATCCTTGTTTTGAAAAATCTCTGTGCCTCAGTTTGCTCATCTGTTGAACAGTGGTAGGGCAAGTGCTCTAACACTGAGCTATATTTTCCTCTGAGATTATATGCTGACCTTGCACATATTATCTATTCAGTTTCTATTTAAATAATTGGTGGCTCTGAAACCTTGCCATCTCCAAATCTAGCTTTCCAAATATGCTACTGCACAGCCTGTGGTCACAGGTACTCTGCTGCATTTACATAGCACCTGCTTTTGTGTGCTTCCAGTTGGATCATTGCATCCAGCCAGCTGTCGTCACCAAGGATGTGTGCATGGTCTTCTATTCCCGAGATGCCAAGATCTCACCTCCACGCTCTCTGCGCAGCCTCTTTGGCAGTGGCTACTCAAAGTCACCAGATTCGTAAGTTTTTGAGATGTTTACCTGTCAGTTCCTTTGACCAGTACAATAGAATCAGCAGTCATTAGTCTTCCCCAGCTTGCTGTTTTATGGTTAGTTTACAAATTATAAACCATTTGAGTAACTGATAGCTGGAGTACAGTGACGTGCATCTGGCATTTAATAAAATGTTGATGGATGGACAAGCTAATAAAGAAAGGAAGAATATTACATTGTAAACATTTCCCAAACAGCTTTGCAGGACTGAATGGCACTATTACTATTTCTAACAGATTATCATTGGGATTTTTTTCTTTTTAATATTAGGCATATTTAAGGTATATCCCTTCTCACTCATGATCCCCAGAATGTGTTGTATGTCATTTCATTCCAGTCAGACATTTTCCCCCTCATCTATTCTCTCTTACGTTAACAAAAAGCAAATTTTTTAGTTTTTACATTTGTGTTATGAATTTTCTAGTTTATTATCCTATTAATGTAGCTATCAAATGACTGAGATAAAAACAAGCTCCTCCTAAGATATATATATACTGCTTTAGTTCAGAATAGGAAAAGAACAGTGACTGATAAGAAATATCTGTAGTTACATTTGAGGTGGGTTACAGTCCCTACAGAAGAATTTAAGTAGGTGGAATTGAGATTTTCCTATTTTTGTGCTGTAAGAAATGAAGCAGTTTTACTTTATTTTCAAATAGCAATCGAGTCACTGGAATTTATGAACTCAGCTTATGCAAAATGGCAGACACAGGCAGTCCGGGTAAGTGCCTATGGATTGTAGAGGTGATAATATCTTGATATGTTTCAAGTATATTACAAAAAAATTGGCTGGGCTTGGTAATGAATACCAGTGATCCCAGCACCTTGGGAGGCTGAGGCAGAAGAATCGTGGTTCAAAGCCAGCCTCAGCAACTTAGCAAGGCCCTAAACAACTCAGCAAGACTGTGTCTCTAAATAAAATACAAAAAAGGGCTAGGGGTGTGGATCAGTGATTAAGTGCCCCTGGGTTCAATCCCTGTTACAAAAAAATTAAAAAATTATGTAGCTAGATGAAAAAATTTTAGAAACATGTATATTTTACAAACCAACTTTAGTGATGGTGGTAAGAATTACCTTTTTCAGAATTGCAATATTGTTTGGTCTATGATATGTAAAATAGTTTCAAAAATTATATCAAACAAAATGTTGCTAGGCCGGGAAATATAAAACTTTTGAGTGAATTAGAATGAATTTGACTTCAAAACTGTAACCACTTCCCTCACCACCTTAGCCCAAAGATAACTTGGTGTAATACATTATTGAGCAGAAACAGCAGCAGCTTCACCTGGGAAATTGTCAAAAATTCACATTCTGAGCTGGGGATGTAGTTCAATAGTCGTATGCTTGCCTAGTATTTGCAAGGCCCTAGATTCAAAAGAAAAAAAAAATCAAATTCTTCAGACTCTAACCCAGACCTATAGCATCAGAAACTAGAGGGGAGAGGGCCCAAACTCTCCTTTTCATAACTAGCTCACTCCCAAGATAACAATATTAAGCTATAATCACCTTTTAAAGGTCTCACCCCTTAATACTATCACAATGGCAGTTAAATTTTAAGATGAATTTTGTGGGAGCTTTTTGGTACTGAGGATTGAACCTCAAGGGCACTTTGTCATCAGCTATATCCTCAGCCCTTTTTTATTTTGAAACAGGGTCTCGTTAAGTTGCTCAGGGCTTTGCCAAGTTGCTGAGGCTGGCCTCCAACTTGGAATCTTCCTATCTCAGCCTCCAGAGTTACTGGAATTAAAGGTGTGCACCACCATATGTCTCAGCATAAGTTTTGGGGAGATGTTCAAACCATAGCACAGGGTTTTTGGTTGTTTACAATGCTGGAGATTGAACCCAGGGCCTCACACATACCAAGCAAGCACTCTACCACTTATACCCCTGTCCTTGCACAGGTTTTTAAAAAATATTTGATTTGGGTTGGGGATGTGGCTCAAGCGGTAGCGCGCTCGCCTGGCATGCATGTGGCCCGGGTTCGATCCTCAGCACCACATACAAACAAAGATGTTGTGTCTGCCGAAAACTAAAAAATAATAAATATTAAAATTCTCTCTCTCTCTCTCTCTCTCTCTCTCTCTCTCTCTCTCTCTCTCCCCCAAAAAAAATCATTTAAAAAATATTTGATTAATGAGCATTTGAGTTATTTTGTTATATTTTTTGTGGTTCTGGAGATCAAACCCAGGGCCTGCCTTGCTCATGCTAGGCAAGTGGTCTACCACTGAGCTATATTCCCAGCCTAGTAGTTTGAGTCATTTTAGATAACATACATGGAAAAGGAGTCAGGGCCCACAGGAAAGATTTAGAAAAAGAATAATATAAGTTCATGTATTTCCTTTGTGGAATTAGTGTATCATTTATGAAAAATAAATGGGAAGCCAGGAATGGTGATTCTCATAATTCCAGCTACTCAGGAGGCTGAGACAGGAGGATTGCAAATTCTGGGCAACTTAGTGTGAGATACTGTCTCAAAATAAAAAAATAAAAAGAGCTGGGGTATAACTCAGTGATAGAGTACTTGTATAGGATGCATAGGCCCTGTGTTCAATTCCCGGTACTGCAATAAATAAATGAAGGAATAATTAGAAATGATGGAGGTTAACGCCATCTGTCATCTACCACCATTGAACTACTAAATGTGTGTGTGCAGTCCCTTTCCACTTTTTTCATATGGATATATTTTAATGCATTTAGAATCATAGTGTACAGACTACTTAACATCTCTGTATTTTCACTTAACACAAAACTTGAGCATTTTCTCACATTGTATTTCAATCTTCATAATTATCAAAGAATATAAAACTCAGTTTTTTAAAAAGTTCAGCACCACACCAAAAAAAAAAAAGTTTAGAGAGTTGCTTTGAGAGAAATGTGTGAATTTGTATTAATAAACAAAATTTTATGGATCTTGAAATCATAGTTAGCTTATTATGTATAATGATTAGTAATTCTCATGTGTGGGACCCTGGATAGGATTTACGGCACTGCCAAAAAAAAAAGAATTAACAACTCATTTGACCTAAAGTTGGAATTGAATTTTTCTCTGAGAAGAAAAAATGTTCCCTCTGTCTTAGGTATGCAGAGGAGGAGGAGAAAAGTCTTGGATACCTCGGTGGCATATGTGCGGGGAGAAGAGAATTTAGCAGGTTGGCGGCCGCGTGGAGACAGCCTAATCCTGGAGCATCAGTGGGAACTGGAGAAGCTGGAGCTGTTGCATGAGGTATCCAAGGGCAGGAGGGGCCAAGGGCAAGAACTCGGCTGCAGGATGGCACAATCCCAGTCCTTAACCTCTGGCTTTGCCGTGTGATCATGGCTTTTCAGTTTTCTGTGATGATGAAGTCATAATATTTTGCTTCTTAAGACCCTCATGAGCCTTGTGTTTGCTGAGGCAGTAGTGTTGATCTTCTTAGGTGGAGAAAACCCGCCACTTCCTCCTGCTGCGTGAAAGACTTGGTGATAGCATCCCCAAATCCCTGAGTGACTCGCTGTCCCCCAGCCTCAGCAGTGGGACCCTCAGCACCTCCACCAGCATCTCCTCTCAGATCTCAACCACAACCTTTGAAAGTGCCATCACACCTAGTGAGAGCAGTGGCTATGACTCTGCAGACATTGAAAGCCTAGTGGATCGTGAGAAAGAGCTGGCTACCAAGGTGAGAACTCCTTCCTCCTGGCTGAGCATTCCTACCTCAAGGCTCTGAGCTAATCTTGCAGTTTGTTCATTTTCATCACTTTCTTTGAGAGACACTGGTTCAAGGTCTATGCTTATACTCTGAATGTAGAAGTAAATAAGACTCAATTCCTGCTTTATGCATAAGATTATGGGCAACCAACATACAACAGAGGCGTGTTTCTCTTCGGGGAAGGCTTATAAGGACATACAGGACAGAGCCAGCAGACTTCTCTATAATCAGTCTTAGGGAATTCATGTGCAAGAGGGGTGGGAGATAAGAGAGGGTACTATGTGTGACACTAAAATTTCAAGTGGATCTTGGGAGTGGTATAGGCTTTTCCCCCACCCCCAGTACTGGGAATCACACCCAGAGTCTCATTCATATTGAACCCAGAAATACCCCTGAGCTATACCCTTAGCCAATGTGGAAATATTTTAAACATTTTTTTTAAGTATTTGTTAGTTGTTGATAGACCTTTATTTTATTTATTTATTTTAATGTGGTGCTGAGAATCCAACCCAGTGCCTCACACATGCCAGGCAAGTGCACTACTGCTGAACCACAGCCACAGCCCCTAAACATTATTATTTTTTTATTCTTTTTTAGTTGTAGATGGGTACAGTACCTTTATTTTATTTATTCATTTTTATGTGGTGCTGAGAATCAAACCCAGTGCCTCAAACATTCTAGGCAATCACTCTACCACTGAGCCATATCCCCAGCCCTTAAAAATTATTTTTTGAGAAAGATTTCCCTGGCAGCAATAAAAAGAATGGAATAGTAGTGAAAAGAATCACTGAGAAAGGAAGACCTCTTTTCATATAGTAATCCAATAAGAAATGATGAACCCTTTTTTTCAGGTGGGGGCTCAGTACTGGGGATTTAAACCAGAACCTGATCATGCTAGGCAAGCACTCTGCCACTGAGCTACATCCCCAGACCCATCTTGAAACCTTTTTTTGTTGGGTGGTAGAAGGGGTCAGTTCCCCTGGCCCTTTTTATTTATTTTTTAAATTTTGAGCAGTCTCACTTATTGCTGAGGTTGACCTCAAACTTGGGATCTTCCTGCCTCAGCCTCCCAAGTTGGTGGAATTACAGGCATAAGCCTCTGCACCTGGCATGTTTAAGCCTTTTAAATGAGGATGAAGAGGAAGGGGGAATCTGATCAGATGTGGTGGGAAAAAAGAGGGTTATTGAGGATGACTCCCAGGTGTATAGTTGCTAGGCAACTTCTTAACCTAATAGTCTTCTAGTTTGTTTAGGAAAACTTGTCCATCCAAAAGTCTCCGTGTATTGAGAATTAAAGGAGTGCTATTACATTCATAAGCATTTACATACTATGGTGTTTGCAGTAATCCACTTTTTGTTTGAACCCCTCCAGGCATGGTGGTGCATGCCTGTAATCCCAGCGGCTCCAAAGGCTGAGGCAGGAGGATCTTGAGTTCAAAGCCAGCTTCAGCAAAAGCAAGGCATAAGCAACTCAGTGAGGCCCTGTCTCTAAATTAAATACAAAATAGGGCTGAGGATGTAGCTCAGTGCTTGAAACCCCCTGAGCTCAATCCCCAATAACCAAAAAAAAAAAAAACCGATATTGAACCCAGAGATACTTAACCTACCCTTTTTTATTTTGAGATGTGTCTTGCTAAGTTGCTGAGACTGGCCTTGAATTTGTGGTCTTCATGTCTTAGTCTCCCCAAATGCTGGGATTACAAGCATGCACCACCGTGCCTGGCAGTAATTCACTTTTGTTGTGTTGAGAATGGCTGTTTATTTAGGTACTTGGAGTTGAACCCAGGAGCATTTTGTCACTGAGCCATGTTCCCAGCACATTTTATTTTTTATTTTATCTTGCTGAATTGCTCATGTTGGCCTTTAACTTGGACTCTCCTGCCTCAGCCTCCTGAACAACTGGGATTACAGGTGTATGCCACTGCATCCTGCTGAAAATAACTTTTTATTTTTATTTTTTTTTTTAATTTATTTATTTATTTATTTTTTAAATTTTTTATTGTTGGCTGTTCAAAACATTACATAGTTCTTGATATATCATATTTCACAATTTGATTCAAGTGGGTTATGAGCTCCCATTTTTACCCCATATACAGATTGCAGAATCACATCAGTTACACATCCATTGATTTACATAGTGCCATACTAGTGTCTGTTGTATTCTGCTGCCTTTCCTATCCTCTACTATCCCCCCTCCCCTCCCCTCTTCTCTCTCTGCTCCCTCTACTGACATTCGTTTGTCCCCCTTATATTATTTTTCCCCTTCCCCTCACTTCCTCTTGTATGTACTTTTGTATAACTCTGAGGGTCTCCTTCCATTTCCATGCATTTTCCCTTCTCTCTCCCTTTCCCTCCCACCTCTCATCCCTGTTTAATGTTAATCTTCTTCTCATGCTCTTTGACCCTACTCTGAAAATAACTTTTTAAATCTATTTATTTATTATTATGTATTTATTTTGGTATTATTATTAGGTATTTATTTTGGATTGAACCCACAGTTGCTTAACCACTGAGTCACATGCCCAGCCTTTATTTTTTTATTTTGAGACAGGGTCTTACTGAATTGCATAGGGCCTCACTAAATTGCTGAGGCTAGCCTCAAACTTGCAATTCTCCTGCCTCAGCCTTCCAAGTTGCTGAGATTACAGGCATGTGTCACTTTGCCCATCTAGATCTATTTATTTTATCATCTTTATTAGACATATACCGGACTTCCCTTGTTGTATATGTAGTTAATTTCCATAGCTGTCTGGGTAACATCTGAGCCCCAGCATGAGTTTTAGGTGTGTCAGTTCCCCTCCTACCTTGCATCCCAGGCTTTGTTTAGCCAATGAAGTCTTAAGTTCAACTTCATTTTCTCTTTCTCTTCTTTAGTGCCTGCAGCTTCTTACCCATACTTTTAATCGAGAATTCAACCAAGTTCATGGCAGCATCAGTGACTGTAAGGTGAGCACCTTGAAGCCATCATCATTAGCCAGTGTGTTGGTTACCAGTTTCTCTTCAGCGTTCCAGATTTTGTCCCTGGCTTTTGATGCTTTTAGATGGCTTGATATGTGACCATTATGTCTGAAAATGTATCTGGTTTTTCAAAGTCAGAACACTGACTTCTGAAGATAACAATGTATGTGTCCCTTACAGTGATTATCAGAGGAAAAACATTTTGGGATTCTCCTTAAATCCCTTGGAGAAGAATATTCTGTAGACGGTGATATGTTTGTGTATGACAAGGCACAAGAAAGTCTTAAGGCTTTTTCTTGGTGGCAAAAAACCCAGTGCGTTCAGCAAAGAGTGAGGAAAACACTTCAGAGAACTATGTCATTCACTCTATCTTCATCAGCATGAGCTTTTTTGCTGTTCTTTAAACACTCCCAGCTCATTCCTGCCAGGGGTCTTTGCAGGGGTCTAAGATTGTCTGTGTGGAGCAGGCCTCCTTAACTGCCCAATCGCAAGCTGGCCGCCCTCTCAACTTTCCACACCACACTATGTTATTTTTCACTGTAGTGCTTATTATTACCTGGTACCTTTTTTTTTTTCCCTTTACCTTTTTGCAGTACTGGGGATTGAACCCAGGGGTGCTGTACCACTGAGCTACATCCCCAGCCCCCACCCCTTCTACCTTTTTTAAATTTGGAGACAGGATCTCTCCCAGTTGCTGAGTCTGGCCTCAAACTTAGAATTCTGCCTTGGCCTCCTAAGTTGCTGGGGTTATGGGCATGTACCACTGCACCCAGTTACTAAACAACACTCTTTAAAAATATATTTTTATTAGTTATTGATGGACCTTTATTTGTTTATAAGTGGTGCTGAGAATTGAACCCAGTGCCTCACATATGCTAGGCAAGTGCTGTACCATTGAGCCACATCCCAGTCCCCAAACAGCACTTTTAAAAGCGTTTGTTCAGTGGTTTATTGTCTGCCTTCTCTACTAAAATGTAAACTCCAGAGCAGGACATAGGAGAGCAGGACCTCTACTGTGTTCTTAGTACAACACATAGCATGTGGTGGCTGCTTGGGTTCATGCATGCATAATGTTATTTAATTAATGTCAGAGGGCCATAGAAATATTTAAAAAACAGCTTTACTTCTTTTGTAAATGTCTTTCTTTTTTTTAAATGGTGCTGGGGATAAAACCCAGGGCCTCTTGCATGCTAGAAAAACATTCTACCATTGAAATACACCCCTCAATTTTTTTTTTTTTTTTGAGTTTGTGTGTGTGATGCTAGAGGTCAAACCCAGGGCCTTAACATGTGCTAGGCAAGTATTCTACACTAAGCTGTATCCCTTATCCCTAAAACTTTATGAAGGGAAGGCACTAATTGTTAATGCCTATGGCAGAGGCAGCTTGTATGCATTTATTTATTTTAATTTTATTTTATTTTGCTGCTGGGGATTGAACCCAGGAGCACTTACCACTGAACTACATTCCCACCCTGCTTTTTTTCCCCCTCTTCCCTTCCCATCTTTTTTCCCCCTTTCTCTTATTTCTCCTAGGGACTCCCACATGCTCAGCAGGTGCTTTGTAGCCCCCTCTTTTGTATATGTCTTGATTCCTAATGTTATGTTCAGTCTATAAAATATTTGTAGACTTATTTACTTTCTCTTTTTGAATTTTTGTTTGATTTATTTACTGACAATAATAATTTTTTATGTGCATGCTTTTTATTTTTGGCAGCTCTTCAGACTGAGCCTAAGGGTGCTCTACCACTGAGCTACACCTCCAGCCTTTTTATTTTTTTATTTTGAGACAGGATCTCATTAAGTTGTTTAGGGATTCGCTAAATTGCTGAAGCTGACTTTGAACTTGTAATCCCTCCTCTCAGCTCCTGAGTAGCTGGAATTACAGGTGTGCACCACTGCCCCATCTGTAGGTTTATTAAGTGATCTTCTGAAGATTTATGAAAGGAAGTCAATGGTTATCAAAGACTATGGCAAAGGTAGCTTTTCAAAATTTATTTTTTTATTTACTCGTGATTTATTATGGTACAGGAGATTAAACCCAAGGGTGCCTTGCCACTGAGCTAAATTCCCAGCCCTTTCTATTTTTGATCTTTAACAGGGTCTTGCTAAGTTACCTAGTCTAACTCAACTTGCAGTCCTCCTACCTCAGCTTCCTGAGTTGCTGGGATGGCAGGCGTGCCCCACTGTGCCTGGCGAGAGGAAGCCATTTGCTCCTGAATCTCACTGGCTATTTTTTGTTCTTTGGTTTTTTTTGCTTCCAGTTGTCTGATATCTCTCCAATTGGGCGGGATCCCTCTGTGTCCAGTTTCAGCAGCGCTACCCTCACTCCCTCCTCCACCTGCCCCTCTCTGGTAGACTCTAGGAGCAACTCTGCGGATCAGAAGTAAGTGCCCAAATTTCACAGAGAAGTCAGTCTAAGAACCAAGGAAAATGTCAGCCTTCCCCCAGCTCTGGTTCTCAGTGAGGGCAGTGCCATCCCCCTGGCAATGTTCAGAAATGCACTGGAGCCTTTTCTCATTAAATGTTATAAATTTAGGATGATGCCATCAACTATAAGATTATTTTATAGGCCACTAAGAAAAAAAAAACTAATTCAGTTTAACATGCCATCACCTGTAAGAGGCATCGTAATTTAAGAAGTGATAAATTATGAAAAAAAAGGTTTCTTACAATCAGTGAGATACCATCTTAGGCTAAGCTGCTCTATGAAGATACCACACAGAACCTAGGAGATTCTTTCTCAGTAAAGAGAACTGATCCAGCTCAGTGTTGCAGCTCTGCTTGCACAGCCATTAGGAACCGAGGTTCTTCCCATTTGTTGACTTTATCTGCTACTCCTAAGGCAGATTGAGATCTCAGATTGAGTGCATTGGTATCCTCTAGAAGGCTTGTAGATGGCCAGGCCCCACCCAAAGTTTCTGATGCTGGAGGTATCTGTTAGAATCTTAAGAATTTTAATTTCTGACAGTTTCCCAGATGAAGCTGTTGCTGTCAGAGACCACTTTTTTATTCTCTGTGCTAGGGTTAGAACCCAGGACCTCATGCATGCCAGGCAAGTATAGAGATCACATTTTGAAAACCACCCTAGGTTTGACTACAGAACTAAAAAGAAACATAAGGGAATAGAGTTCACATTCAGCAACTTGTGTTCAGAGAGCCTTAGGCTAAGAAGATAAACTGAGACTCAGTGATCATCAGTGACCTCTTGCAACTCTAGGAGGAAACCAGTAGAATTCAGTGTTGACTTTCTGATAGGAGCTTGTCTACTCAGCTGAGTTCTCTGAAACTGACATTTGCAGCTAGTGCTCAGGGAGAGGAGCCATACCCTCCTGGAGAAGTGGCTGTGCCCAAGATGCTTGGCCTTACTGAGACTCTCATTACCCTTTTCTTTCTAACCTCTCTCTTTTAAAGGACCCCAGAAGCCAATTCCCGAGCCTCTAGTCCCTGCCCAGAATTTGAACAGTTTCAGATTGTTCCAGCTGTGGAAACACCCTATTTGGCCAGAGCAGGAAAAAATGAATTTCTCAATCTCGTTCCAGATATTGAAGAAATTAGACCAGGGTAAGTACTCTATTCCCCAGGGATACTAGATATAAAAAATTAGCAAGAAGAATTGACTTCCAACTCATGTGTGTGAGCCTGTTGTAGTCTAGTGTACTTTGAATCTGGGGAAGGAGCCAGACTGGATTTCTGCCCCAGCTACACCTCATCAGGCATCGGCATCTGACACAGCATGGTGTTGGGGCACTTTTTGCTCTTTTGCTATATTAATTTGGCAGAAAATAATCTAGGGCAAAAAGACCATTAATAGTGCTCAGCTCATGATTGTCTGTCTTTTTTCTGGTTTTGTGGAATTGGGTACTGAACCCAGGGCATTTTACCACTGAGCCACATCCCTGGCCCTTTTTATTTTTTATTTTGAGACAGGGTCTCACTAAGTTGCTTAGGACCTGCTAAGTTGCTGAGGCTGGCCTTGAACTTGCAATCTTCCTGCTTCAGCCTCCCAGTTGACTGGAATTATAGGCATGCATCATCTCATGCTCAGCATATGATCATTTTCTTTTTGTGAGAAACTAACTTTTTTGTACTGTCCTTTTAGCTCAGTGGTCTCTAAGAAAGGATATCTGCATTTCAAGGAGCCACTTTCCAGCAACTGGGCTAAACATTTTGTTGTGGTCCGCCGCCCTTACGTCTTCATCTATAACAGTGACAAGGACCCCGTGGAGCGTGGCATCATTAACCTGTCCACAGCACAGGTGGAATACAGCGAGGACCAGCAGGCCATGGTGAAGGTCAGTCCTGCTCTGCCCTGGCTTTTCACTGCCACACGTGCCTTCCCTTTTGAGTTTAAGGTTCTGTTGTGTGGTATGGATCCTCCTATAGACTTGAATTCCTTGAGCTTTCAGCCTGAAGCTCTTTATACCCTGTGAATCTGGCAAATGTGGCAGGATGGTCCCCACTGCTTGTTCCATGCAGCAACCTTCTTCTCTACCTCTCTCTTTCAGACACCTAACACTTTTGTTGTATGCACAAAGCATCGTGGGGTCCTTCTGCAGGCTCTTAATGACAAAGACATGAATGACTGGTTATATGCCTTTAACCCACTCCTTGCTGGCACAATACGGTAAGAAGTTCTTCTGTTTGCTTTCTCCCCTGGACTTTTGGCTTCAGAGATATCCACATAAATAGGAAACATTGAGGTGCAGGGAGAGCAGGACTGCAATGAACTGTATAGTGGTGATGAGGCCTCTCCTTTCCTTAAGGTACCTTTTTGTATCCTGGTCACCAAGGAGACTCTGGTCACACGTGTACCCGTTGATCTCCTTTTTTTGTTCTCAAGGTCTACAGGTGGGGTTCAGGGCACCAAGGAAAGGGAAGATTGTAAGGACCTTAATATCTCCCACCATTCAGCCCTGTGATTCAGCCACAGGTCCTCAGTGAGGCTAGTGTCACAGGGTCCCCAGAGTGGGCAGGACCTCAGCCTAGCATTCATTCAAGGTCCCAGAAGACCTGGTCCTGCAGAGGAAAAAGACCTGTGAGATGAGGACACCTAGATCCAGTTTGCTGATCCTGCCTCCCATTTGTCCCACAGGTCTAAACTGTCCCGCAGATGCACAAGCCAGCCGAAATACTAAGCTGCACTCGCCTTCGAGAGATAAAGGAAGTGTTACCTCTCATTCTCTTTGTGATTCTTGACGGTTGCTCCTGTATGTGACCCTGTGCTTAACTACTTTTCCCTCCTTGTCCAGCACTTTTTCTAGTTCTCCTGTTGCCCATCTTCATGGCTCTGTACTCTTTCCTTTTTTCTTGTGCTAAGAATCTTGTTAGTAGCATGTGGCCTAATGAAAGGAAAAAAGATTAACAGCAGTGCGCACCTATATACACACACACCTGAGGGGATCCAGTGAGTCTCCACGTTATTTTTTTGGTGTACTTTGGCTGCCTTTTGTATGAAAGGGCCCATCATGACCACCACTGAGGTCTCACTGTTGTCTTTGGATAATACCTCTGACTGTTTTTCAAGGTTCCTTTTTTTTTCTTTTTTCTGTGATAGCATTAATATTTTCTTGGGTGGCTTAGAGACTAAGGGAGGAAAAATCTGGCCTTGTTAGACCCTGAGAAAAAAAATTTATATTTCCCCCCCTCCCTTCTGTCTCTTTTTTTCTGTGGCCAATCCCTGTATTTCCATTCAGGGAAAAAGTTCTAGTGGGCTCAAGAATGGGACAGTTAAGATTCTGAGTCAAGCTGGGGGCTTACCCAGAGTACAGTTACAGGATTTCATGGAATGGGAGCTGCAAGAGGAGCCTTTTCAGTAGGCTTGGGCCATGGTTGCTGTTGGCCTTGTGGGAAGGGACAGGCCGAGGGTGCAGTGGGCTCACAAGACACAGGACCTGCAGTGGGCCATGAAGGCAGCAGTCAGAGGGAACTTTGTGAACTGCTTTTCCCTACTGAGAGGAAGGCTCTTGCTCAGGAGTTTCTGAGTTCTGTTGTTGGCATTAAGGATGACAGTGGACACATTATGAATTAGAGCAGCGTCATGCACACATTTCCCACAAGGGGGAGTGATAAACTTGATGCTGAGTTAGGGACTTGATGTTGTAGCTCCTTTTGATCAAAGTGCAGCTTTCAGTATAAATGTGGAAATCTGCCTGTGCATCCAGTAGCTCATCACCCTGTACTCATAAATGAGCAAACATGGCAGTCTTGACTTTCTGGATCCCAAGATTAAGACCAACTCCCACCACCTCTCCAAACAAAACAAGACAGACCTGGGGACAAAGAATAGGGTGGAGTGAGCCCTTCCCCACAGTTTGCTGCTGTACCCTGCCCTGTCTCTCCTCCTCTGTTACTATCTCCTCCATGTAGTGTAGAAATACCACCCAAGGAGAAAGGAGGGTGCTCACTGCCAACAGTCTCCTTTCCTGCTTACAGACCAGATCCTTCCATTTCCAAAGACCAGCATAGAAGATAACGCTGCTCCTGTCAACTGCCAGTGGGTTCTGTAGGAATGACTGGGGTTAAAGAAAGCCCCCATGTCCTTGAGGTGCTTTGCCAGTGACTCGGGGTTGCTCCCTGCCACCCTTCACTCCCCTGCTCACCTCTACTTCACCACTGCTCAGGCTTCCAGGAACAGGCCTGTGCTCTCCGTCTGACAGGAGTGAGGGCTCTTGGGCACTCTCAGGTAGTGGGGAGCTGAATTACTTTCCAGTAGGTCAAGAGCTCTCACATCCAGTCACTAGGGAGGCTTGTCATCCAGGCTCCACTTCTGAACTCTGTCTAGTCTGGGTTGGGCTCTTCTCTGACGAGCCAGTCTCCGTGCCTCACTTATGATTGCCTTGGAAAGAGGAGGAAAGTGAATCACGGAGAGCTTAATAAAAGAAGCAGAGAAGTCAGACTTATCTGAAAGGTGATCAACAAAATTTGTGGATTTTTAAACATGGGTCACTAACTTTAATATTGTTACCTAAGCGGTGTGTGAGGTTTTAATGTAGTTAGAAGTCTTCATGGTCTGCTGGACACGCACACCGTCCCGCAGGATCTGTCTGCTGAGAGACAGCTTCATGGATAGCAGCTGAAGATAATTTCAGGGAAATGAAGATGAAATTTGAAGGTCACTTGTAAAATTAAATCAGCAGTGTTGCTGCTGTTGAATTGGACAGAAGGATCGTGTCTGTGGCAGGGGGAGGTAGAAAGAGTGAAATTGGGATACACTGAAACAAATGATTTTTTTTTTTTTTTTTGGTCTAACTCAAAACTGGCTTGGAAAAGTCTTTGCTTTGGAGGGTCAGACATTAGAATGAGCCAAATTGGACTGTATTCACCACACGCCCAAATACGAAGGCCTCATTGGAAAATCAGAGGTAGGAGAGTGGTCTGTCCTGCAAGGGGTCTTGGTCAGGCATGCTTTCCCCCATCCCAGGAGCCTCTGCCATGGCTGATGGGTACACACAGCCTTGGGTTCCACTCCTTTTCTTGGGGCCTATATTCAGATCAGTTGAACAGTTCCAAGATGCATGTTTCCCATTCCAAACAGGGCTGTCTCTGCTTTGAAGCTTAGGGAGAGGGTTTAGAGTAGACTGTTTATGGCGCTCCAGCTGTAGCTGTGGTGGCAGGAAACTTGAAGAGATCTGACCCATCAGGTAACTACGTTTTCAGGTGGCTTATTTATTTTTTCTTACTTAAAGTATTCATTCAAATAAACAAAAAGGCAAGAAAGAAAACTCAGCCACAGAAAAACGTGTGACAGTTAAAACTTCTCTCCCTTCCCCATCCTCCTTTCTCCTACCAAAGTGAAAGATGGCCTCACAACCAGCCCCAAACCAGTGCTCAGACTGTCCCTGTTTCTGTGTGCCACCCTGGGAGTCAGTCAGCTCTCAGGCCAGGACTGTGGGGGGCCAGCCAGCCCCTGCACACAGTCAGGAGCACAGGCCAGGCTGCTGCTGGTGGCTGGGTGGGCACCTGGACCCCAACACATGGTTAAAAAGGAGAAATTGTTGATGTGAGGAAGGAAGTTTTCACAGCTAAGAAACCACTATTATTTTACTTGCTCCACCCAGCTATATAGAATTTAGATAGCTACTCACATTAGAGATGGATGGATTTTTCAGCTTTTTAGATGAAGGAGTGAATTAGATCATTTTGAAAGGTCTTTGGGGATCTAAAATTGAGGTGACTTCTCCTGGCACAAATCCCAAAGCAAAGACTTTATTGCCTGCTGCTTCTTATCTAATTTACAGGGATATTTAATTTTGTAAGGTATTTGTATATTTATACAGCTATAATGAATTGCACATTGGACTGGAAGAGAAGGATTCTCTTGGGTGCAGCACCTGTGGGAACTCTTCCTATGTCTCCTGCTCTGGTGCTGGGCTCTGCTTGGGATCTCCTGGACAGTGTCAGGGGTTGTTTGACTTGGGTCCTGTGCATTTCCTTTGGGTTTCCTTTTCAAAATGTGATTATTAACTTGCTCTTGAAGAAGAAAAGAATAATTCTGCTGCTGCTCTCAGGAGATTGCTGGATGTGTTTGAATAGGACTCTGCATGTGTGCACTGCAGCCGTCTGCCACGGCCCGTGACCCATCAGCTTTGCAGGCCAGACCGTGACCCTGTGGAGCAGCTCAGAGATCATTTGCTGAGAGATTATTTGCTGCTGTTGTTCAAAAGGCCATTTATGAAGTTAGTATTTGAGCCCTATAAAATCTTATGAAAGCCCCCGATCATTTAAAAGAAGAAATCAGATTGATAAAAGTTAAAAGCACAGCCAGAGGCTGGGCTGGGGCTCAGTGGCAGAGTGCCTGCCTGTCATGCCTGAGGCCCTGGGTTCCATCCCCAGCACCACAAAACAAACAACTCACAGCCAGAAGGCTGCTTAGGTGGGAAGTGCAAGCGGAGGTTAGCCTCCTGCCGATCCCTGGCTGCTGTGTGCTGCTTTTCCGTGTCTTCCAGTTCATTTATTTTCATGCTGTGTATTCTGGCATCAGTTCACCTGAGGAATCCACCAGCCTTCTTGTGTTTAAGGCATTGTCTTAAGACACTGTGGCTCTAAAGTACTTGTCTGTTGAGATTGAAGTCTCTTGTCACCATCTTCACACGCTATAACAAAACCCATGAAGCATAAGTGGCCTTTTTGAACCAAGACTTTTGCAAACTGATCTCTCCCCAGTGAAGGAGTTGAGCACATTAGCAACAATGTACATTATTAATTTTGGATTTTCATTTTCATGTTTTATTTTGTAAATACTATCTGATGTTTGGAGCTTGAGTATACAGAATGTAAATATAGTTCTTGTATTTGTACTAATTCTGATTCTTTTGCTGTATAGCCTTAGGTGTGCAATGCAGACATAGTATCTAACTGTGTATGGTAACTTACATCACAGAACTATTAGTGAACAAGGTAAAAATAATAAAGGTACAGCCAGTGCATCAGAAGGCTCTCAATGTGCATTTATTCTCACATCCTTTAGAAGTAATTACACAGATTTCTTCTCTTGACTTGCAAAGATTAAACGAAAATCACGGTGCTATGACCTACAGGTTCCTTGCTGATACTCAAAGTAGTGCTTCTTGGGCTGGGGTTGTGGCTCAGAGGTAAAGCGCTCACCTAGCGTGCGAGAGGCACTGGGTTCAATCCTTAGCACCACATGAAAATAAAATAAAGATATTGTGTCCACCTATAACTAAAAAAAAAAAAGTAGTGCTTCTTATATAACCAGTAAAGCTAATGTGGTGGTGGTGTTTAAAAGTATTTTCCTCTTAAATATATTAGTTATTTTTGCTAAGAGATTTGGTGTTTCTCTCCTGCAACACCTTTCTTTTTTTGTCTGTGGTACTGGGGAGCAAACACAGGGTCTCCAGCATGCTAGGCTAATGCTATACCACCCAGCTACATACCCAGTCTTTTTCTATTTGTTTTTTATTAGGACAGGGTCTTGCTGAGTTGACCTTAAACTTGCAATTCTCCTGCCTCGGCCTCCCACATTGCTGGGATTACAGTTGTGTGCCACTGCCCAACTGAAGCCTTTCTTTGTATATAACTACCAATGATGTACTAGTGTTATGTTGAGTGTTGGTTTTTGTTTGTTTTTTCTTTGTCGGGAAGAGGATTTGAAAAAATATCAACATGTCAGTTTACTTTAACAAGCTCTCCTATGAGCAGCACTTGAGAATGGGGATCCTGTGCTGATACAGTGTGGCGGCCAGTGATTCTGCAGCACACGGAGCAAGCACCTGTGGCCTCTGTTCCAGTGGGGGACAGTATCTGCAAAACATTCACAATGTCAAGCAGTAAGGGTCACAGTGGACAGTAAAGCCAAGTGGAAAATGAGAGGGATGGGGAGGAGGCCTCTGCTTACACCATGCAGAAAGGAAAGGCTCTCCTGGGAGATGGCGTATAAGCAGAATCCTGAATCGCCAGATCCCTGGGCAAGGAGGTCTCAAGCAGAAAAATTAAGCCCCAGGGTTAACAGTGTCCTAAGTAGGTTCCAGAAGTAGCAAGATTGCTGGTGTGGAATGAGTACTAGGGGAGTGATGGGGACGTCCCAGGGGTCAGGGCTTAGGATGGACTTGGGTCTTTATTAGAGTGAAATGGGAAGCAAGTGAAGGTTTCTGAGATGAGGAGGCAGGTCCTATTATTTGTGTTTTTAAAAGACCATTCTGACTGCCGAGTGGAAGATAGCTTGCTGGGGGTTGAGGGACAAAAGTAGGAAAGGAACAAACTAGGAGTATTCCAGGGGAGATGATGGTGGCCTAGACCAAGGTCAGAGCAGGACGGGTCTGGAGACACCAGCATTGTCAAGTCGGAACCAACATTTACTCAGAGCCTTTTTGTGGAGTCAGAAAGAAAGGAGGAAAGTAGTTCACAAGATGCGTGCCTGGGCAAAAAGAACAGCATTGCAATTTCCCAAGATGAAGAAAATGGTAGAAGAACAGCTGTCGGGTTGGTCGTGTTTGTTTTGAGATGCCAGCACTTCCACCTGAATGTGTACTCTGCAGGACAGTTGGGTAAACTGGTTGTATTCAAAGAGGGTCTTTGACGAAGGAAGGTAGAGGCTGGAAACATGGGGAGAGTCCAGAGCACTCCAGCATGTAGAAGTCAGGGAGAGAAGACTGGTCCAGCAAAGAGGAAGAGGCGTGGCCATAAAGAGTGACAGGTAGCTGCCGGGTTTCTGTTCTCGCGACTAAAAGGTTCAGGGGTCACTCCAGTTGAACTGGGCTAATTGGGCTGTGCAAAATAACCACACAAGAGACACAAATACCTTTTTTGCTGTGACAGCTCCTCTGACCTTAAAGGTCCATAGGAAGAGAGAACGAGAGCACACGCTGACCCCTTTTATTGTGGAGAAGCTGTTCAAATGAGGCAAGGGGGCAGGTTTCAGGGGGCTGAGTCTATCTTCATGATGTCCACTGTCAGCAGGTTGACTGACACCTGGGTAGGCCACACCCAAGGACACAGTAAGAGAAGGGGACACACACAAGGCACTTCCATGGAAGATTCTATCCTAAACAGGGCAAGGGATTATATTACAAAGGAACAGGTGAGCGTAGCTCCACTCATGGGGCTGTAGCAAGACACACCCATGCACAAGACACCGACCCTCGAACCCAAGAAGGGTGGGGAAAGCTCTGCCACATTTCTATGACTGAGCGCCTCAGCACCCAGCTGGGGAATGTGACTCAGTCAAGTGCAAGGTTGGTCTCCCACAGGTGGCCACTAAGTGTTGGAAGATGCAGGATGCCATCACTGTGTCCAGTGCAGCCGATAAACTGAAGCAGCGAACCATAGGTTTCAGCAACAGGAAGGTGGAGGAAGTTTGGGGGAGCCAATCATATCACTATTTCCCAGTTTCAGAACCAAGTGAGATAAGGCCAATTGGAGACCAAAATATCACCTTTATTAGTGATAAAACTGCTATTAGAGGATGCAACTTATGTCTGAGGGAAAATGGGTTTTCTGATACTGAAACTCAGTTTTCAAGGATTTGGAGTAGCACCTCTGGAACTTTAGTAAGCACCAGAATCACCTGGGATCACCATTCCAAAATGCAGATTCTGATTGAGGTGGTCTTGGTAGGGCCTGGGACGGCCTGTTTCATGATCTTCCAGGTGAGGTCAGTCCAGTGTAATCCCTGAAGGCAGCAGAGGTCCTGAGGAGGAGAAGGCAACTGGCCCACCCAGGTCTGAGGTCTCATTCCAAACTTAGAGAAGGGTCTAGAATGGAGCCTCAGGAGTGCCTCTGCCAGGGAGCACTGTGAGTTTAAGGCCAGCTTCAGCAACTTGGTAAGATCCTATTTCAAAATAAAACAAACAAACAAAAAAGCTGTGGGTGTAGCTCAGTGGTAAAGTGCCCCTGGATTTGTTTCCCAGTCCTGGGGGTGAGGGGAGGACAATAAGTGCCTCTGCCAGAGCAAGGTCACCTGTGAGCAGAGTATTGTGGGAGAAAAACTCCAGCTGCAAGTTCCAAGGGAGAACAGGCAATTCTTTCAGAGATACTTACTAAAACGGGAGAAGAAAAGGGTTAACCTTCTGGAAGGGGACATGGGGCCACAGCCTGTTTGTGTGCTAATTGTAGTGAAATGACTGGGAAGGAAAACTGGCTTTGGGGAGGAGACCAGGATGGAGGGACCCACTTGACTGGGTGCCTTCATAGTCTTGAAAGTTAGGTCAGCTCTAGAGAATAGAGTACATTGGGCCGTGTCTCCCTTGAACCCTGCTGGACGTTCAGTTTGAACTGGATCATCATCCCTGAATTTGTTCTCAGGAAGCTGATTGTACCTTACAGATAGACCTCAACCAGGACAGCACGTCGCTGGCAAAGCTGACTGCACCGAGAGTCAGGAGGTCAGTGGAACAGGGCTCATGTTGCTACATTACTTGTTGGTCTGACTTCTTGTCATTCCACTTTTGTTCGCATGGGGAGGGTTCCAGTCTCCCTTCAGGCCTCCTCATCCCTACACAGCCGGGTAGCTCTTCTGAGTACCTTGCGTGCTTGCTCCTCTGGCTTTTGGATTCGTGTCTCAGGAATTTTTTGAGCATTGTGCCTTCTTGCATGCATCCAGCCATTTCAGTTCAGTAATAGGAATTGCAGCAGGGCTGGGATTTTCACGTCTGGACAACCCACGAGTGCTCACACACCCTCTTCTGTAAGTCAAAGGGTTCCTCCCTGGGAGGTGTGCCTAGAAGGCTGTTTTTGTAGAATTCATGCCCTTGCTTTGATCTGGGATCTGGGAGTCAGCAAGCCAGAACATTTTTTAAGTGAACATGGGTTGATTTTCTTAAGCATGACATGTCGAGTATCTGTGGATTTTCTAAAAACAGCAGGTCAGGGTGAATTCTGGCTCCAGCATTATGTGTGTCTCTGAGGGACACTCACTCAGGTCCCAGCCCCTCTCTCCTAAGCTACTTGGCCATAGTTTTCAATACTCTGGGAAAGCAGTTTTGGTTTTTTGTTTATTTCTGTTGCTTAACATAGAAATGGTAAGTCCACGCAGTGTGTGACAGTAAAGAAAGAAACCCCTAATGGCTTTATGATTAGATTTCTACTTGTTTGCTGGAGCAGTCGGTGCCTACCCAGAGGTGACTGAGGAAGTTCAGATGTTTAGTCACATTGACTCAGCATAATTCCTGCCTTGCCAAATCTCAGACTAGAGCAATCAATTTGTTTCTTCAGCAAAGTCTGATAGCAAGCTTTCCTTGTAACTGAGCCCAGGAAAGAGGAAGTAGTTGCAGTACAGTTGAAAGCTGTGCCCTTCAGCAAGGGCCTCTTGAGGGAGCCACTGTGGGTTCTCCAGAAACTAGTCACTCAGAGCTCAATCCAGATTTCCATTTAGAGTCAACTAAACATGGTCAGTCCACAGGTATGCCCAGTTTTGCTGGAAGTCAGTCGTGAGCATGCACAATTGAGTCCTGCTCGCCCTATTAGGAAAGAGGGCTGGATTTGGTCCCTGAAGACTTGGGTTAAAGTTCAGTTCTGCCACTGACTGGCTGGGATAGTCAACTTCCTTGAGCTGTTTCTTTGTCACATGGGTCATTTTGACATGCCCATACCTGGCAAGAAGCAGGGTCTCTGCAGTCAGGCAGGCTGTTACAAGCCCATAAAGCTCCAGCTTCTTGTCTTCTAGAAGCTTTTCCTTGCCTTTTCTGATCCTGGTCTCTGCCATGAGGTGAGATGCTAAGCCTGGTCTGGGGGGGCAGAAATGCCAGTAGTGGTGGCACCCAGCACCAAACCTACTCCCAGGAGCTTTGTACCTTTAGGCACAGCCTATGGACTCCAGAAGGCCTTAGCCACAGACAAAGAGGGACAGTGCCATGGAGGTGCTGGCTGTGGCAGTGTAAAGGAATGCGGGGGGCGGGGGGGTGAACTACAAAAAATTGAAAATTTAAAAAGCATAAAATTGAAAAAAAAATTCTTTTCTTTTTTTTGGTTGTGCTGGGGATCCATTGAACCCCAGGCCTTGCAGATGCTAGGCAAGGGGTGGGGGTGCAGTGGACTACACTTGGTGGAGCCCCAGGCAAGAGCTGCAGACTCCTGCCTGGGACAGCTCCACTTGCTGCACCACCTCAGGGGGACAGTCTCACTAGCTCAAGGTTGGTGTGTGAAAGGTTTGGGCAGATGGGAAGGCAGGGACCTGGGCTTCATCAGTCTAAACTGGGAAGCTTGGTGAGAAAGGAGTGGGAAAGCCCTGAGTTTGCTAGCCTGAGGCTTCCAAGGCAAGCAGCAGAGGAGCTAGAAACAGCAGGGCAAGGCAGGAAAGGTGAGTGCCGAATTCAAGGACTAGATGAGCCCCGGCTGACTGGGAAGCTGTCTATACATGGCATGTGCCTGGTGGGACTCCAAGGCCCAGGGAGACTGAAGAATGGGAAGGGAAAGGGAAGCTGAGAATGCACTTCCCAGCCCAACCACAGTGGTCAAGGTCTGAGCATAACCTCTTCCCAAATCTATGGCTCTGAGTGATGGAGACACAGGCAGCTCTCTGAAAGTCAAGCTCAAAAGAAAAGTAGCCTAGGCATGATGGCCACACTTATAATCCCAGCAACAAGGAAGGCTGAGACAGGAGGATCACAAGTTAGAGGCCAGTCTGTGTAAATTAGCAAAATCCTGTCTCCAATAGGGCTGGGGATGTAGCTCAGTAATAGCACCCCTGGGTTCAATCCCCAGTACTGGAGTAAAAAGTTACAGTTTACCAGAATTGTCAGTTAAACTGGAATATGGTATAATAAATGAAAGATACAAACTGCAATCCCTACACAACCACAAAGAAAAGAGAGGAAACAAAAGAGGAAAAAAGAAATACCAACCATGGGATTCAAATAGCACACACAGGCACAAAATGTAACAAAAGTCCAGGCATCAGGAGACACACGCCTATAATCCCAGCTACTCAAGAGGCTAGGGCAAGAGGATGGCAAATTCCAGGCCAGCCACAGCAATCTACTGACACCCTGGGATGTAGCTCAGTGGCGAAGCACCCCTGGTTCAATCCCCAGTGTGTGGCTGGGGGAGAGGGAGCAGTACAAAGGAACAAATGGAAGATCTATAGAAAACAAATAGCAAAAAGCACCCACATATTCAGCCATATCAGTAATTGTAGCAGCTGGGCATGGCAGTGCTTAGCTGCAGTCCCAGCACTCGGGAGGCTGAGGAGGGAGGACAGTTTGAGCCCAGCCTAGATAAAATAGCAAGACCCCCATCTCTAAGAATTTATTTTATTTATATTTTTTTGGTACTGGGAGTTGAACTCAGGGGCACTCAACCACTGAGCCACATCCCCAGCCCTATTTTGTATTTTATTTAGAACAGGATCTCACTAAGTTGCTTAGTGCTTCACTGTTGCTGAGGCTGGCTTTGAACTCGTGATCGTCCTGTCTCAACCTCCCAAACTGCTGGGATTATAGGCATGTGCCACTGCGCCCAGCTCAAAGAAATTTTTTTTTTTTTTTTTTTTTTTTTTTTTTTAGTTTTCGGCGGACACAACATCTTTGTTTGTATGTGGTGCTGAGGATCGAACCCGGGCCACACGCATGCCAGGCGAGCGCGCTACCGCTTGAGCCACATCCCCAGCCCCTCAAAGAAATTTTTTAAAAAAGAAAAGTCACAGGCTGTGGCTGTGGCTCAACGGTAACGCACTTGCCTGGCATGTGTGAGGCACTGGGTTCGATTAATAAATAATAAAAATATATATAAATACAAATACATATAAATAAACAAAGGTCTATCAACAACTATATATATAGACTGGGGATGTGGCTCAGTGGTAGAGCACTTGCCTGGCATGTACATGACCCTAGGTTCTATCTAAGTCCCATAAAATAAATCATACTTACAACCCAGCAACTGCACTCCCAAGTATCGATCCAGGGGAAATGAAAACATACATGTGGACAGCAATTTGAGTTTAAAACAATTTCTTTGATGCTCATTTAGAAACAATCCAGATGTCTATCAGCAGGTAAGCACTTGGCCATGAGGAGCAATGAGGCACGCTGTGCGCCACAAACCTCTAGAAGAGCAAATGCCACAGCTGCTTCCACGCTGTCACCACACAAGTCGCCCCAACCCAAGGTTTCCCCCTGTACCCAGCAAGCAACTCCAGTGTTCGCTCTCGGGTGTCCCCTAATTCAGTGAACCTGTGAGCTCACAGGTTGAGGGCTTAGTCCTCAAGACTTACCCCACTTCAGATGTCAACTGCAAGCCCCTGTGTTTCTGACCATCCAGCTACAAATCAGTGTTCCCACAGCCTTGTCCCCAGGTTGGACTAATCCACTCAAGCAGTTAACAGAACTCATAGGTATGTCTTCTGGCCCATTCTCAAGGAAACTTCAAAGAATATGGATGAAGAGATGCATTGGGCAAGGTATAGTTCCTTGCCCTCTCTCTCTCGGTTGTGTGTCCTTTTGTGTGTCTGAAGCATGTACAGCCATGTCAAAATGTGATCAGACGGGTGCACCTTGAAATCCCAGCAGCTTGGGAAGCTGAGGCAGGAAGATCACCAGTTCAAAGCCAGCCTCAGCAACTAAGTGAGGCCCTAAGCAACTTAGCATCTAAATAAAATATAAAAAAGGGCCAGGGATGTGGCTCAGTGGTTAAGTGCTGCTGGCTTCAATCCCTGGTACCAAAAAAAAAAAGTGACTGGACAAAGTCCTAATAGAGTAAGGAAACCTGGTAGGACCTACCTGTTGAGATCATCTTAGTCCCTCTGCAAACATTGCTGTCTCCAGGGGCTTACCTGTCAGAAAGGCAGGGGAGGATTCGACTATACAACAAAGTAGATCAGAGGTTGCCTGGGACTGGGGAGGGAGCTAACAGGTGAGGAAACCTGGGCAGCGGGAGTGCACTGAAGCTGGATTATGGTGAGGCCTACACGGCCACAGAAAGCCGACTCCAGCCTATACTTACAGCATACGGATCATACAGCAATTAGTTGACACCTCCATAAATATATTTTCTAAAAAGAAATCTGACGTTGGGACATAGGGTGGGTTTTTATTTGTTTTTCTTTTCCCAGGGTCAAGGACTAAACTCAGGGCTTTGCGTGTGCTAAGCAAGCACTCTCCACCAAGTCCCCAACCCCAGGACATATGGTGTCAAAGTAGGACACCAATATAATTTATCATCCAAGCAGAACAGTTTTTAGAATGCAAGAAATTGTTATTCATAGGTACACAAGGAGACGGAGGTACAACTAAGACCACTTTCACCAAATGGAATTGAACAGTTAGTGCCCCTTCCTGTCCCTTTTTTTTTTTTTTTTTTTAATGTGCTGAGGATTGACTCCAGGGCCTCTGCAGGGGCTAAGCAAGCACTCTATCCCTGAGCTCCAGCCCCGGTTCCAGTAATTCCCCTTTTAAAAAGCCAATGTAAACCAGCCATTCACCAGCAACACGTAGTGCTGCCTGCCGTGCACAAGGTATATGGAGGATGAGAGAAACACACTGAACATGCAGACACGCCACTGGCCTCTCACACTGAATGGTCTAATGGGAATGAGAGCAGAAGCCAGCAGTGACCAGCACCATGCTAAGGACGCCAGCCAGGAAGAGGGGACACCTCCTGTGAGCTGAAACGGCAAGCTGGAAGGAGCCAGAGAGGTGACACAAGTAAAATCGTGTGTCAGAACCCCAGGCCCAGTTCTGGAGCCAGAAAGCAGTCTCTGAACCTAGTGGACTGCAGGGAGAGGGGGAGGCAGGCGAGTCCTTGCCTCACTGATGTGTCTGGTGAAGAGGCACTGCACAGCTGGTCTTGCAGAGTGGTCAGTCACCCGAAGACCACCATGTGGGGCTCGAGCAAAGACAGGGCTGCTCCTCCACCTTGGCTGCGTCTCACCCCGGGACATAAGCCCAGACTGAGGCCCGTGGTCCCAGTCATTGTACTGGAATGCTCTAGAAAACAAAGCAATACCTGAGTGGTGGTGCATGCTTGTAGTCCCAGTGACTCAGGAGGTGGAGGCAATCTGTGGAGCCCAGGGGTTCCAGGCCAGCCTGGGCAACACTGCCAGATCCCATCTGAAAGCAAACAAACTAAAAAACATGGATATTTGTAACAGGACATGCTGGACACCCCACTCCCAAGGGAACACAGAAGCGGCAGTGAGTGAGGGGAGAGGCAGTGATGGGGGGTGAGGGGTGCCTGGCTCTGCCATCGTCAAATGGGAATGTTGTTTTTTCCAGTAGAAAACAGATGATGGAGCCATGTGTCCCCAGCTCAGCACAAGCTCTGGGAACCACTTAGGAGCCTTCTGCAGAGCCATGCTTTTACCTCTTTCTCTGGAAGGTTTCAAAGGAAGCTGGGAGAATTTTCTTCCCAATGTAATTTGTGTCTCCTCTATTTTTTTTTTTTTTTTTTTTTTTTTTTTGCGTGTGTGGTACCAGGGAGTGCCCAGGAGCACTCCCTCACTGAGCTAAATCCCCATCACTTTTTATTTATTTATTTTTAGTCTGAGACAGGGTCTCACTAAGTTGCTGAAGCTGGCCTCAAACTTGTCATCCTCCTGCCTCAGCCTCCGGAGTCCCTGGGATTGATGGCATGTACCACCATACCCAGCATATGTCCCTTCATTCTGAGTACTATCCTTTAAAAAGAGAATGGGGATAAGAAAGGATGGTCCCTCTCCTCACCCACCATGAGGGTCACAGCGAATACCTCCTGTAACGAATCATTGGTTCACAAGACAAAAGCATAACAGATTTATTTAAGCCAAGTTTTACACAACACAGGAGCCTTCAGAAATGAAGATTCCAAAGACCCTGGAAAACTGGTTATTTTTATGCTTAGGTCCAGTGAGGAATGGACAGCCATGAAGAAAAGTGGTTGCACAGAGAGTCTAACCTAGCGGTGACAGACTGAGAGGGGGACTCAGCAAGCCCTGCCCAGCTTCTTTCTAGGCTTTTCTGCACAGCACTCCTTCTTTCCCCAGGGTATGGGTCAGGGCCCCTCTGAAATGAGGGGCTATCAGACAAGGTAGGCTGTGGAATTCCTTTATGGTCAGTTCTTGCCCCAAAAGGTAGAAGAACCAGGCTTGGGGGGTACTTGAGTGGTAGAGTGCTTGCCTAGCATGTGTGAGTTCAATTCCCAAAACACCAAAAAAAAAAAAAAAAAGTAGATTTGAGTAATATTTCTAGGATTTTATGGCTGGCTTTAGGGAAGTGGGGTTCTAGTCTCTATGACCCACTTTAGGGAAGAGGAATTCTGGTTTGCAGAATTCCCTCCAAAGGAGTAAGAGAGGTGAGACAGGAAGACCTGAGATCAGAAAGACCTTGATCAGGCCTTTTCGGTTTCTTCAGTCCAAAGTATTCAGCACACCAAGGTGCCGGATTTGTGGGGTTGGTGCTCTGGGCCTCAACAATAGAAGCTAATATACAAGTACCAAATGTCAGGCACAAGGTCCCATTTGCTTAATTTAAACTTCCAGCTACCAGGTGAGGTTGTATCAATTCTCTTACGGAAGGACTCAATAATTTGCCCCTGGGGATGAAGTTCAGTGGTACAGTGTGTGCATACCCAGTACCCTGGGTCAATCCCCAGCACCAACAAAACAAACTTTCAAAAACTTTCCCAAATCACACAGCTAGAAATGAATGGAGGGCTGGGGCTGTGGCTCAGCGGTAGCACACTTACCTGGCATGTGTGAGGCACTAGGTTTGGTTCTCTGCACACATATAAATAAATAAAATAAAGGTCTATCAACAACTAAACATATATATATATATATATATATATATATATATGAAATGAATGGAACCAGAATGAGCTATCAGCGTGACACCCAAACCCATTCTTTCCCCTCTTAATCAGGCAGTCTCCAAGAACTAAAGTCCAGCATCTGATCTGACATCTGTGATAACTTACTGCCCTACCACATGCATCTGTGTCTGAATCCCAGATGTGAATGAAGGGAACCTGGGAGAGCAAGCTGTCTCCAAGAGGCTGTTCTCCAGTAGCTCTGTCACCCTGGGACTCAGCGAGTCATCTCTCAGATATAAGTTGAGCTAGACAGTGGTTCTCAAACTTCTTGGTCTTAGTACCACTTCACACTCTTAAAACTTATTGAAGACCCAAAGAGTTTTTGTTTAGTAAGTTATATCAGAATATACGGTTTTTAAAACTGAAACTCAGAAACTTTTGAAAAACAGTTTCCTGGCACTGATCATGGTGATGCTCACCTATCATCCCAGCAACTCTGGAGGCTAAGGCAGGCGGATGGGGAGTTGGAGGCCAGCCTGGGCAATTTAGTAAGAACTTGTTTCAAAAATAAAAGGGGCTAGGGTGTAGCTCGGTGATAAAGCAGCCCTAAGTTAATCACACACACACACACACACACACACACACACACACAGAGAAGAAAACCAATTTCTTTAAAACAAGAAATTCACTAAGATCAATACTGTTGACATTTTCCAAATGTCTTTAATGTTTTGGCTTAAGGTTTGCCGTTCCCGTATCTGCCTCTGCATTTAATCGGGTCCATTTCCTAGGTCCTGTGGCCTCTGTAAAACGGGATGGGGTGGCACAAGCCTGTGATTGCACCGACTAGGGAGGCTGAGGCAGGAGAATCAGAAGTTCAAAAGCCAGCAATTTAGCGAGACCCTGTCTCAAAAAAAATAATTTAAAAAGAACTGGAGGCGTGGCTCAATAGTTAAAGCGCCCCTGGGTTCAACACCCGGTATCAACACACACACACACACACACACACACACACACACACACGCTGGACGGGGTTGGATGGTACCCAAGTCTTGATCAGCAAGACTCAGTCCTGGCCCTATCACACTCCAACTCCTAAGTCTACTGCCTGCTCTCTACGCCTCATTTTCTTCACCGGCAGAAAGCGGGTGCCCGGTTCCACACCGGATCGCTGAGGGTCCACACTTCCTGTCCCCACTCCCCGTGCCGCATGACAGGACGAATAGACCTGGCCCCTGCCCGGCAGTCGAGGGACACGACGTGAGTGCCCCATAGTGCGAGGCAGTGATGGGAGGAAGCAGCGATGGACTCGAGCAAAAGGCATCTAGGTGCTCGGTGGTCGCTGGAGCTCCTCCTCCGCGCGGCGCTGCAGACCCGGGCCGCGTGCGCCAGCGGGGAGCCGCGGGCCGCGGACCACGTCGATTTAGCCCGGCGCGGGCGCGGCGCTGCGGCCCGGCGCGCCCGAGGTGTCATCGAGGTGCTCGGTGCTCTACTGATTCGGCCCCGGGGGTAGGCGTGCCCGTTTGCCCTCAGGTGGTGTAACAGGCGCCGGAGAGAACCAATGGCATGGCTAAAGACTCCGCCCCTTCCTTCCTATTGGCTGGCGCTGAAAGCGGGGCGGGGAGCAGCTCAGGCTCCGAGGGCCAGCGGGAGCCGGGCATCAGCGCACTTGCCCGCGAGCTGAGAGCTGTCCGTGCCTCTTCCTCTTCGCTTCTGCTCTGCCTGTCGCCGCCATGGCCCAGTGAGTGACCCGCCCGCGCAGCAGGGTTCGGCTCGGCCTGCCGGGACGCCCCGGGGGCGGGTCGGCTTGGTCCTCTCCCTCGCGGGTCGCCTGCGCCTGCCGCGTGGGGCCCGGACCCGCACCTAAGGCCGGGGAGCTCCCCGTGCCTCTCTCCGGACGCGGCCTGGGGCGGGTCCCTTCTGGGAGCGATGGAGGCTCCCGTCCCGCGGGGACCGCTGCGCGACCGCCTGCTGACCAGACCTGACCGTGCACTGCGCCTGCAGTGAAAGTGATGGCCAGAGTCTGGGCAGGAGCGAGGCTTCGCGGGCGCTAGCGCCCATTGCAGCTCAAGAGGTCCCGCGGGGAAAGGTGCCTGGCCTCACAAGTGCAGATGGGGAGGGGTACGAGGGAAAGTCGGTCACCAATCCCGCCGAAGTGATCAACTTCAAAAAGTGTTAGTGGCACTAACATTTTTCTTTGTTCTTTCTCTGGCTTTTCAGAGCTGATATTGCACTGATTGGATTGGCCGTCATGGGCCAGAACTTAATTTTGAACATGAATGACCATGGCTTTGTGGTAAGTGGTGGGGACACAGTGCCTTCCCTGTGGCTCCTCCTGTGCATTAGCACAGTCAGCCCAGTTCCCAGATCCCACGGAATCCGAATGTGCTTTATTCAAGATCGCTTTTGCTTGCGGCTCATGGCTTGCTTTTTTTAAAGTTTTAGTTGTAGGTGGACACAACGCCTTTAGTTTATTTATATGTGGTGCTGAGGATCAAACCTGGTGCTAGGCAAGCGCTCTATCACTGAGCTACAACCCCAACCCTTTATTTCTTATTTTGAGACAGGAACTTTTTAAGTTGCCCAGGCTGGCCTCGAATATGTGATCCCCTTGTCTCAGCCTCCTGAGTTACTGGGAGTACAGACATACCCCATCAGCATTTATGGAATTTTTGAAAAGAAGAATTGTCACTTTAGTTGTGGGTGTGGAAGGGTGTGCTTTAGAGGAAGAGGACTCCTGTAAGGTTCATTATCTTAAGTAGAGATGAATGGAAGGGAGGAGAGCTCCTGCTGGGTGTACAGCTCTGATGCCCTTTTTGGTGCTGGGGATTAAACCCAGGGTTCTGCACAAGCTGGACAAGCCGCTCTACCACAGGGCTACAGGGCTACGTCCCCATCCCTTTAAAAAAAAAAAAATTGAGATGGCTAACTTGCAGTTCTCAGCCTACCCAGTAGCTGGGGTTACAGATGTGTGCCACTATGCACAGCTAGAGCCAATCTCATTCCCTAGTGAGATCAGGGGAGAATGAATTTTATTTTATTTATTCATGTTTTCTGAGACAACTTCTCACTGTGTTGCCTAAGCTGGCCTCAGATTCCTGGCTTTATGATCCTCTTGCTTTACCCTCCTGAATTGCTGGGACTACAGGTGAGGGCAACCAGTGAGATCTAAATGTTATTTCTAGATACTCAAGTGGCTTAGCTGCCAGGATTATCAGGGACAAAAGGGGTTAGGGGTGTAGCTTAGTGGTGGAGCACTTGACTTATGTGTGTTAAGCCCTGGGTTCAATCTCCAGCACTGGAAAAAAAAAATCAAATACAGAGACTGAACCCCATCTTCCTAGATTCAATTCTGATTCTGAACCAGTAGGGAAGGTTCAGCCTGATGTGCTGTGGGCAGTTGGTCTTTGCCTCAGTTCTCTGCTGTTGTGTCCCAATGAGGGGAGTTAACCACTGGGATCAGCCTGCAGGTGGGGGAGGGAAAGGCAAAGGCAGATGGGGCCTCCCCCACCTGGGGCTGAATAGAACTTTCATTGTCACTTGGTCTCTGGTCTCAGTGTGTCCTGTCACTAAGCCCATCTTTTGTTGCTTTAGGTCTGCGCTTTTAATAGGACAGTCTCCAAAGTTGATGATTTCTTGGCCAATGAGGCCAAGGGAACCAAAGTGGTAGGTGCGCGGTCCTTGGAGGAGATGGTGTCCAAGCTGAAGAAGCCCCGGCGCGTCATACTGCTTGTGAAGGCTGGCCAGGCCGTGGACGATTTCATTGAAAAACTGGTGAGGCCAGTTGCTCTCAGCTGCTGCTTCTGTCACAGTTGCTGTTATGTCCTCTAGCTGTTTTATTTCAGAGATTTCTTTAGTTTCCATTTCTGGATATGAACTGTTCAGCTCTCTGTGTTGGTTAACTTGATTGGTGCTAATTAAGTACTAGTATATCCTTGGGGTAGTCAGGGTGGTAATAACTAGAGGACAGTTAGGAGACATTTCAATAAGAATTTGCTGACTGTAAGATACTGAACCACAGCAGTCTATTAATGGTCTTTCTGTCTTTGATATTCAAAGAGATCTTACTAGTGTCCATTCCCCAACCCCACACAGGGGTGAACCCAGGCCTCCTGCCTGCCAGGCACAAGCACATACTCCACCACCAACCCCGAGATCTTGCAGTTTGATTGCATAATACAACAATTCTTAACGAGTTGTATAATTTAGTATGAACCATAAGAGATTTCCTTAGGGAATCCTAGGAACTGGGTACTTATTTTGTACCAATTTGTTGGCTTTAGCACTTGTATTTTTTGAGGGGTGCTGGCGATTAAACTGAGCCACATCCCCAGCCCTTCTTATTTTGAGACAGGATCTTACTGAGTTGCCCAGCGTGGCCTCAGACTTGCAATCCTCCTGCCTCAGCCTCCCAAGTCACTGGAATTACAGGCATGCTTGCTCTGCTAGCAGTTATATCTCTTTTAAAAGAAAAAATAATACTCATGAATGCTGGGAACCAGGGCAACTAATTTATTTAGATACTCAAAAACGCTACAGTAACAGCTCTGAAAAAAAACAAGGTACTACTGCCCAACATGTAGTTGTAAGAAAGGCAGAGACGAGCGACAAAGGGAAGGGGAAGGGTTTTTTTGTTTGTTTGTTTGTTTTGTCTTTTTTGTTTTTTTTGGTACCAAGGATTGAACCCAGGGGTACTTAACCATGGAGCTACATCCTTGGCCCTTTTTATTTGTTATTTTGGGACAGGGGCTCACTAAGTTTTTTAGGGCCTTGCTTAGTTGCTGAAACTGGCTTTGAAACTGTGATCCCCTGCCTCAGCCTCCTGAGCCACTGGTGCCAGGTTTCTGTTCTGGCGACTAAAAGGCTCAGGGGTCACTCCAGGTAAACTGGGCTGACTGGGCTGTGCAAAATAACCACACAAGAGACACAATACCGTTTTCTTTGGGGTCGCTGTGACGGCTCCTCTGACCTTAAGGGTCCGCAGAAAGAGAGAGAGCGCGAGAGCACATGCTGACCCCTTTTATTGAGGAGAAGCTATTCAAATGAGGCAAGGGGTCAGCTTTCAGGGGGCTGAGTCTATCTTCATGATGTCCACTGTCAGCAGGTTGACTGACACCTGGGTAGGCCACACCCAAGGACACAGTAAAAGAAGGGGACACACACAAGGCACTTCCATGGAAGATTCTATCCTAAACAGGGCAATATAATATATATAATATAATATAACAAAGGAACACGTGAGCGAAGCTCCACTCATGGGGCTGTAGCAAGACACACCCATGCACAAGACACTGTCCCTCGAACCCAAGAAGGGTGGGGAAAGCTCTACCACATTTCTGTGACTGAGCACCTCAGCACCCAGCTGGGGAATGTGACTCAGTCAAGTGCAAGGTTGGTCTCCCAAAACTGGGATTACAGTTGTGTGCCACCATGCCTGGCCTCAAGCCTTCCTTTTTGAGAAAGTGGTGTTAACAGTGGGTTTTCAACAAGAAGAGGAATTTGTAATCACTGTGCTATCATTTTTTAAATAAATGGCCTAGAAAGGAAGGACTCTGTGATAAAGAAAAGACATACCAAGCCATTTGTGTAGCTAGAGGCCAAGCTGCCCATGTCTAGCTTCAGACACAGTGTGCTGTGTCTTCAACATAGGAAGGTATTATAGGTGGGAGGGGGGACTGAGCAAGAACTAATGAAGCTCGCCTGCTGGGTGCTCTCTGGGGGTGTTGTTGAGTTCTTCCTGCCAGCAGCAGCTGGGTAGCTGCATTTACCCCAACACTGACCCACTGGGGGAGTATTGACTTGAGCTTGCCTCTGGTGCAGCACAGGTTATACTGGAAGCCTTTTCATTTCTTAGAGCTAGTCCTGCCCCTAGACTTTGAGTTTGTATAGGTGGTACCCATGGAGGTACAAATTTTCCAGGTAAGTTTTATTTTTTGTAAAGTCTTTCATTTATTTATTTGGTTCCACGGATTGAACTCAAGAGTGTTTACCACTGAGCCACATCCCCAACCAACCCTTTTTATTTCATTTTGAGACAGGGTCTTGCTAAGTTGCTGAGGCTGGCCTCGAACTTGTGATCCTCCTACCTCAGCCTCTTGAGTTATTGGGATTACAGGTGTGAGCCATCACATCCTGCCCAGCCTTACACTTTTAAGCAAGGTATAGCTGTAGCCATAGAGGATTGTTGAAAATTAAATAATGTATGCTTTTTCGCAGTGTTTATTTGGGATAAATTCTTGTTTGTTTAAAGTGGCCAAGGTACATTTTATTTCTGTCTTTGGTCCACCCTAATGCTAATGTCTGATTACAGGTACCATTGCTAGATGCTGGTGACATCATCATTGATGGAGGAAATTCTGAATATCGGGATACCATAGTAAGTGTTCTTCAGGCCGGCTCCTTCCACGTCTTGACAGCACTCTAGAAAGAGGTGTCCGAATTGCT